CACAGGTTCCTAAACAAGGCTTGCCTCATAAACAACTCTGAGAAGGACCTGGACTCTGATGGATCGGCCATAGATCCATGGAGACTCTGCACAATCAAGCAAGTTGAGGTGCTGAAAGCCCTGATCAAAATCCTTCCCATTTGGTCCACCAGCATTGTGATCGCCGTGACCTTAAGCCAGGGCTCATTCCCGGTCATCCAGGCGAGTACCATGGACCGACGCTTCCTCTTCGGCATCAAAATCCCGCCGGGCTCCTTCGCCATCTTCGGCATCCTGACCCTCATGATATGGGTCGGGATCTACGACAGGATCATAGTCCCCCTCGTCTCGAGGTTGACCAAGCGGCCCCGCGGGCTAACCTTCAAGGAACGGATGGGGATTGGGCTCCTCATCTCCTGTGCAGGCATGTTCGTATCAGCCTCGGTGGAGCACAAGCGGCGAGCCGAGGCAATCCGGGAAGGGTTTGTTGAGAACCCGCATGGGATCCTGAAGATGTCGGCGATGTGGATCGTCCCGCAGCATTGCTTGATCGGGCTAGCAGAGGCATTCAACGCGATCGGGCAAATCGAGTTCTACTTCTCCCAATTTCCCAGGAGCATGGCAAGCATTGCGGTGGCGCTTCTTACCCTGGGAATGGCAGTGGGCAACTTGGTTGCGAGCCTGATCGTGAGCATCTTGGACCACTTGAGCAAGAGAAGTAAGGATGGGACATGGATCTCCACAAACGTGAACAAGGGTCACTATGACTATTACTACTGGATCTTGGCGGGTTTGAGCGTGATCAACTTCTTCTACTACCTCGTATGTGCCCGGGCTTACGAGGGTGGTGAGGAGCGAAAGGTTTGGGATGAGGATGAATTGGAGGATGACCAAGAGAGTCATCAAGGGTCTCCAATGACAATTCTTGCTTGATCTTTGCTACTCGTTAGCTACATAATGCCGATGTTTCGTTGATGCAATTTGTACCAAGTATGTGCTTAGATGATCTCCTTGTTTTCTCGATTGCCTTTTATACAAGGGATTGGATTATCAATGAAATATCGAAAAATTCGAGGAAATTCGATGAACAAATTGATAGGGGCGGAATGAATTGGACCATTTTCTTGAGCGACAAAGTATACAGTACATCCGGCATTTCTAACCGAGGTTCAGCCAGCAATTCTTTCTCCCTATCCCTTAGGATGTCCTCTCTCCTAGCCGCCGCCCAGCCCTCTCCTTCCAAAGCTACTACGTCCCAGAGAGGTCCCCCCCCTCTATCTCCCTCTCCTCTCTCCGTCTCTTCATGTTCAAGACTCTTTTCGTTGGTTTCGCGGACGACGAGTCGACTTCTTTCACGGAAATAGAGAGGTTTGTCGTGTGAGCTCTGAAGATCAAAGTGCGAGTGCCTTGGAAGAATTTGTGCTCTCCTGATTTGGTTGTTCGCTTCGGCTCCGAGTGCTTGCTTCATATAGTCAAGCACTCCACAGGTTTCCAAGACTCCTCTGCTGCCGCCTTCACTAGGCGGCTTATCTAAAAGTGATTTTGGGATCGACATCTAGATATAGATATGGGATTTAGAAAGGATTATTTTTTGTGCTCTTTCAACTTGTTGGTGTTTCCACAAAAAAAAAAAACAAATTGGCGCTGTTGTTGTTATGTCTGTACATTGATGGTGCTGGGGATGTCGAACTTAGGCGAGGTGTGCACATCATCTTTTACCAAAGGCGTAACTATTAGAGAGGGATACTCGGCGTGTGCTCATCACTGATGATGATGATGCAAGATTCGGTGATCGGCAACCGGTTTTGCTTTAATACTATGACAGATTTGTTATTGTGAAATGAGCGAGTCTCTCCATACTGTACTAAGGGTCCGTTTGGCAACGTGCCAAACAGTGAAAATTTCTGTTCTTTTGTTCCTAGAAATAGTTTGGGAACAAAAATGCGTTTGGTAAACTTTTTGTTCCCGGGCACATTTTTGCAAAAATTTGTGCCGAGAAACAGTTTTGGAAGAGAAACAAGAAGTAAAAAAAAGTTGCTTCTTGTTTCTCGGCACAATTTTGAGAATCAGTTTTTTTTTTTTTTCTTTTTTCTTTTTCTTATTTTTGTGTTGTTCTTCCCTGGGCTGGGCCGGCCGCCGGCGACCGGCCACAGCCCAGGGCCGGTGAGGGCGTCACGGCCCTCACCGGCGAGGGCGAGGCGCCCTCGCCCAGAGACAGCGAGGCTCGGCCTCGCCCAGACTCGGCGAGGCCGAGCCTCGCCGTCGCAACCCACGGCGAGGTCGACCTCGCTGCGGGTCACGACGGCGAGGCTCGGCCTCGCTGCATCTAGGCGAGGCCGAGCCTCGCCGGCGAGGGCGACCCTCGCCGGCCGCCGGTCGCCGGCGACCGGCCATGGCCAAAGAAGAAAATGGTAGAAAGAAAAAATAAATTAAACAATTCAAAATATTATTAAAATATTATTTGGGAACAGAAATTTTGTATAGTTACCAAACGCATTTCTGTTCTTTTCTACTCTAGGAATAGAAATTCTGGACAGTTTATCAAACGCCTTCAAATACTCAGAAATTGTTTCCGGGCACAGAATAAAAAAAAATCATTTCTGTTCAAAAATAGTTCCCGGGCACAGAATGATATTCATGCGCACCCCAAGTTGATTCACTTTTCAGATTTACTTATTTTGCTAGATTTCCATTTTTTTCTTGAAATTACGTACCTCTCTTTCATAGGAAATGAAAATTTTCCTTCCAACCAAAAGAAAAAAAAGTATCCAATACATCCATCGTCGTCTCGCCTTTTTAATTTGTGGCTCTTTGGTGATTTGTGCACCTTAATTTAACTCAGATCAAGGCGTGCGAAGGCTCAAACATGTCCAATAGATTAAATTTTGTGTGATTGGTTTGGAGCGATTGTGCGATCTATTAGAACTTGATGCTCCAAAAGCGGCCAACGGTTTCCGGCTGAACATCGCCTGGCCGGCACCGAAATACAAGGCGGGGCAGCCGATCGTTGCTTGCTTGTAAGAGCGGGTTGGCATCGTCTTCGTAAAGTAGACTCATTTTTTTCTTAACAGACATATGGACTACTTATAAAAGGCATTGGCAGTTGGCACATAGAAGCTTTCAATCCCAATACTTAATCTCTACGGAAAGTGTCCAATCAGTCCTAAATTAATTGTACATATGCTATTTCAGTCATAAACTTTTCAATTTTGCCGAATTAGATCCAAATCTTTGCTAGAAATTCCAATATAATCATTCCGGTCAATTTTTATCGGAAATCGCTGATTAGACAGTATGCCACGTAGGCCGGCCGGCGATAATTGTATTGTCACGTTATCTATTTCTAGTAAAAATTAATCGAAAGGATTACAGTAAAGTTTCATATAAAAGTTTATGACTAAATTAACAAAATTAAAAAGTTAAAAACTGAACCGACATCCGTACAACAGATTTAGATCCGATTGGGTAATTATTTCCTTAATTTCTTACCTTATTTATCACTGAGCAGTCAATTCAAGAATTCAGAGTTCAGTCGACCTTACTTCTTTGATCGAGTCCCACGTAATTATTTCTTTTTCCCTTGCGTATATACCAAAGACAAGTTGAACAGGTCAAGTCGATCAAAGTACTCGCCGGCTATTTTAAAACAATAATTCTCCAATTATGTTGGCCTTATAAATAATTGGGGAAAAATAGGAAGGTTCATTCAAACCTACCCACCGAGCCTCGTAAGATGAAAGCAGAAATTAACAATTTCCGCTATCAATTAATTGGGAAAATGACACAAACAGACTTTGATTCGATTGTGCAATGTCATCTAGGAATTTTTAATCCATTCAATGATGTCCGTGAACAATTCATAAATGTTCGATCTGGTCCTTATAATTTCAATTTGTTCAATCTGGCCTCTCAACTTCCGTAGCAAAGTCAAATCAGTCATTCGATACTATTCACAAGTTCACGTAATTACACTATTGTCCGAATTCTAGAACATCTTTTCATCTAAAACTATGATATCCTTTTATTCTCTTTTCCCCTTTTTGGACTTCACAAATATTACGATAATTCCATGTAAGTATATTTTAACTTGTAATCTCTATAATAGCAAGTAGCATCTCATTTCGAGTTATATTTATATCAGGTTGATATTCCTTTTATTTTAAGTCGACCGAGGACAAGCTATTCGAAGACAGATAGTCTTCCAATTACGTAGGCGTTATAAATAATTAGGGAAAAACAGGAAGATTGGTTCAAAACCTACCCCATAAAGCCTCATAAGATAGAAGCAGAAGTTAATAATTTCCACTACTAATTAATTCACCTCGTCTAAGAAACATTGCCATCAAAAAACCATAGCCGACATAACACCCCCTTTTGAGATAAGTATACTGAAAATCCTAAAACTTGTCACGAAAGTGCATTTGAGTCCTAAAATTTTCAAAAAATCGAAATTAAGTCTCGAAACTTATCAAGTTAGTGCAATCAAATCCTTCCATGAACTCCGTTCAACTTGACAAACAGAGAATGTTAACAAATTTTAGTACTCGATGCACAAGATTTGATTGTACAAACTCAATAAGTTTAAGAACTTAATTATATATTTTGCAAATTTTTAAAACTCAAGTTTAAGGATAATGGCTAGGACTAGGAGGATGTGAAAGGCGTCCTGACATTAAGATTTTCGAGGTTTAGCCGAGGCTCAGCTCAGGACCTGCACATAGCAGCTGACATGACACCCTCTCTTCATTTCGTTGACTAACCAAATAAAAATAAAACACGTGGCGCGCCCATTTGGAGGGTCCAGGCTCCTTCCCCCTGATCCCGCCCGCACACGATAATCACTTCCCTAGGACCGCCCGGACTCCAACCTCCTCTATCAAATTCGACTCAATGTCGCCCTACAGATCCGCTTATCTCCCCAAACGGCTCCTATATATCCGGATCCAGACATCGCTCCGAATTTACAGGCGCAACCACTTCGGAACCTTCGCTCGCTCTTTCCCTCAACGGCCAGTCCCGCCGATCACCGCCGTCCGTCCCTCCGTCCCTCCGTCCCGTCCCTCCGTCCGGCCAGGAACGCCGAGCCATGGCCCCGATCGCTGTCGGCGACGCCATCCCCGACGGCACGCTCGCCTACTTCGACGAGCAGGACCAGCTCCAGCAGGTCTCCGTGCACTCCCTCGCCGCCGGCAAGAAGGCCGTCCTCTTCGCCGTCCCCGGCGCCTTCACCCCGACTTGCAGGTGAGCGGCCGCGATCGCTTCGCTGTCCCGAGTTTCGCCGTTTCCTCGTAGCGTCGCCTGTTCTCGGCTGTGTTTTCGGAGGGGAAGAGAGGGACGAGTGAATCGCAGTGCGAAGCGTTGAATTCTTCGGCTGAATCAACGATTTCGTCTTTCCGTTTCGTGAATTTCGTGCGTGTCTCGAGTAGCGGGAGCGGATGTTTGATGCGATTAGCTTTGTCCGATCATTGCGAGCCTGGTAGATGTTTGGACTGAAACAAGTCGTAATTCGAAAGCACTTCAATTCGTTTGAAAATAGTGCGCTGTGCTGTTATAATTTGGTCGACCTGTTCGATTAAAGATGAGTTTTTGGAGTGAATAACACTGGAATTGTAACTGCAGTGATCGCCTCATATTTTACTCTCTTTCTTGTACTTTGTTTACGTTGAATGGTTGTGGTTGGTAAGGGGTAGTTGGCTGCCTGATAGTCGAAGAAGCAATTATCATGTAGCTTCGATTTTTCCGGTATTACCTTCGTGTGTATCGTTCGATTTGCAGTTTGAAGCACGTGCCGGGCTTCATTGAGAACGCGGAGGTGCTGAAATCCAAGGGCGTGGATGAGATTCTGTGTCTCAGCGGTATATTCTTCGTCTTTCTCGTCTGTTTTGTGCGATTTCTTACAATTTTTTTTAAGAGTTTCTAGACGATCAGTCCTCTTTCTTTGTCGTCTAATATCGTCATTTCTTGCTATATACGCCGATGCTTTGTTTAAAGGTTGCACATGATTGGTTTGGCATGTTTTTGTCCTTATGATTGAGTAATGGAGTATAGGGCATATACTGGTTAGTGACGAGGTAAAGAAGATATCTTCAATGACTCGACAAATATATTGGTTTCAGCAAATATCAAGAATCATAATCTAATAATAATGCGGATCAGGGACTGTACTGGTTTCTGGAGATTACAAGGAAATGCAAAAGGGACTCTTGTGTAGAGTGTGAAATGTTTTGACTTTGAGCAGTTGTTAGGCATAGTCAGTAGTTGACCATTTCTTTTGGCATCGCTTTCTTCACCCAATTGCTTGTCAAATTATCAGTTGGGAGTATCCATGATTTGACTTTGAGCGGTTTTTCCGAGGCATTAGTCAGTAGATGACCATTTCGTGTTCAATATTTTTCTGTGTTGATCCCATTGCATAAGATCCGCTTGCCGCCCTTGAAAATCCATTAAATAGTTACAAAGTGTCCTGGATAGCTAAACCCATTTGCCTTCAGGCTTGTTAGTGTAGTTGGTATAAGTCTAATTTCATCTAAAATTGTGCCTTGTGGTCAAAAGAGATGCTCGCTATCTTCAGGATTATCTTGGCCTGGAGTCTTCTTAGGAATCTTTAAATAGATTGCTGTTTGCACACCCTCTCTCTGGTTTTACATTTCACTCAAACATTTAAGTTTATTAATTAAAAGCTGTATTGCTAATGACATGGTGAGTTCAAGATCCTGCTCGGGAAACAACTATAGAAAGCTAGTCCAAAAAGAAGAAAGTTTCTGGGTCCTAGGACACTTGAAAGAGCTTGAATCGAAACATTGCACTGTCATTAGAGAAAATATGGCTTTCCTTAATACTCTCGTATCAGTTACTTCGCTTGACTGTACTGCTGAACCCGCACCTCCTTCCGATGATATGTGGCTGTGTGAATTCCATATTTGATTCCATAGTTCAGCTGCTAGATATCGTATGGAGATTATCAAAGAGCTTGCGCCGTCGTCTAGTTAATAAAACAAGTTAGCTTTAGAGCAGATGGCATTCTGTCTGTCTTGGGTAATTTAGTCCTACTGAGTGATTTTTTTTTTTCCCTGAAACCCGCGATGGTCAATTTGGTTCTATTTTTTCAGTGAATGACCCATTTGTGATGAAGGCGTGGGCGAAAACTTTCCCTGAGAACAAGCATGTCAAGTTCTTGGCAGATGGTTCAGCGAAATACACCCACGCTCTTGGCCTCGAGCTTGACCTAAGCGAGAAAGGGCTCGGTACTCGCTCCAGGAGATTTGCTCTCTTGGTCGAGGATCTCAAGGTGAAGGCAGCCAACATCGAATCTGGAGGAGAGTTCACTGTCTCCAGTGCCGATGAAATCCTCAATGCTCTCTGAGTTTTTTTGCCATCCCTCGGCAACGCGGCTTCGGGAGTCTTTGAGCTTCGTGTTAGCTTTGTGTTTGTTGCCATATGGTGGTTTGAGTACGCGTTAAACCCGCCTTATAGACGGTTTATATGTCCTGACTCTTATGTGATATGGTTGTATGGACGTTATGGAATAATGGTCAGGTTCTCATCCTCTTGTCTTTTAGTTTGTTTTCCTCCCTTCTGGATTGTTTTTTAGTTTGGAAGTTTCATGTCAGTGTAGGAGATTATACATGAGCAAGGGCCAACATGCATGGCGTCGGTTGAGGAAATTATAGAATTTCAAATAATGCATATAATCATCAATGACATTAAAGGAGGTTTCAAGTAGAATTATTTTAAATTTAGAGGGTTTAAGCTAAAAGAATTTAGTACAAGGGTGAGATCTTCTAAATTTGGGGTGGCAAAATTAACCCTTTCTAAAATTGTCTATAGCCACGCCACACTTACCCACCGTCATGCGAACGCCGCCGTAGATCATGGCTGCCCCCGCCCGTTTGCCTTCACGCTTGATTCGATCTCTTCTCTGTCCTCCCTCCCTCCCTCCTTGGACAAATCGAAACTTCTGATCTGTCTCCTCAATTTGAGGCCATGGACCTTAGGAGCTTCGATTTGTTTGAGAGAGAGCCAAGGAGGGAGGCCATGTGCAGAGTGATGAGTAGAGAAAACCGGGCCGCGACAACGTTGGAGTAATCGGGTAATTCAGGTGAAAAATCATGGCATGGTGACATGCCTTGACTTTAATATGTAATCATGCCTCTCTTCGTATCAATTTTTTTTATAGAGAAAATAACATAATTAGTCCCTGAACTTTGGCTAATGTGTTATATGATTCTTAAACTTTTAATTTGTTCAATATGGTCTCTGAAATTTAGTTCGATGTGCAATATCGTCCCTAAATTTTTAATTTGTTCAATGTGGTCCTGGACTTTTGGTAGATATTCAATTCAGTTCTTGGATTATATAAAAATGTTTAATATTGTCCCTGAACTCGAATTATGGAAGAACAACATTAAATATTTTCGTATAGTCTAGAGAATATATTGAACATTTTTTAAAAGTCTAGGAATCACATGGAATAAATTAAAAGTTTATGGATCACATTACATATTTGGATAAAATTCAAAAACCATTTATGTCAAGAACCATTTTTTAAAATATCAGTCTAGATTTTTGTGAACCCGGACTAGACTTTATCCAACACGATCGCCGCACAACGAAAATATGATACATTAGGATTTAGGTCTTTGGCAAAAGTGGTGAAGATGCTTATCATGGAGCGACCCCCTCTGGGCCCTTGACCTCGCTCGGTTGATACGTATGCTCAATGAATTTACCAGGCACGAGAACGGGCATAGGAGCCGTTCGAGAAAGGGACCCCCACTCGCTCCATTTTGAAAAACGGAAGATTTTCTGTTGGATTTTCGAAATTCATCGAGAGGGACAAGGAAAAGTGCCAGCAACAGCAGTCTCTCCCCCTCTCTCTCTCTCTCTCTCTCTCTCAACATGGATGCATTTGTCAATGCATTTTCTTGAAACTACGGGACGAACATCTTGCTTGTCTCATTCCTCGTCAAATAGTTAATACGGGCAGAACGCTCTGTAGCACTGTAGCTGGCTCTTTTCTCTTACCTCCTCATCTTCCACCTCTTTTGTTCCCTCTTTCTCTCTGTCTTGTCTTCTTCGTCGGCTGGATTTGGGACCTCCTTCAAAGTGTCCCTCCTGTTTTGGCTGTAGCTTTGGAGAGCTTCTCGTGCGGCTTTGCTGGGGTTTTCTTGTGGGGAAGAAAGATGAGCGCCTCCAAGTTCATCAAGTGCGTCACGGTTGGAGATGGAGCTGTGGGCAAGACTTGCATGCTCATTTGCTACACCAGCAACAAGTTCCCTACCGTAAGTCCTCCTTCTTTTTTGCATTTCTTTAAGGGAAAAAGAAGAGATTTTGGAAGGATTTTGCATATGGGTTTTTGGTGTTTTCAATGTTCAAAGGAACTTTCAGTTGATTTTCCTTTCTTTTTTTGTTTTCTGATTGAGCTATTGACAATGTAGTCCGACAAAGAGGGATATAGAAAGAAGCCATTGAGTGCAGATTGCAGAGGGAGATTTACACTTTGAATAGATTTTATTGTGTTTCTTTCTTGTTTCTTTTGGTGACAGGATTACATACCCACAGTGTTTGATAACTTCAGTGCAAATGTGGCTGTGGATGGGAACATTGTTAACTTGGGATTATGGGATACTGCAGGTGCTCCCGCGTTTATGTTTCTTCTCTTTTTATTTATATGGATTCTTCTTAGAGTATTGCTCAAAATGGGTTTATCCCTATTGGGTTTTCTTTTTCCAGGTCAGGAAGATTATAGCAGGTTGAGGCCATTGAGCTACAGAGGAGCAGATGTCTTCGTGTTGGCTTTTTCACTAATTAGTAGAGCAAGCTATGAAAATGTTCTAAAGAAGGTAGTAATCCCCACGCTTATGCCTTTATGCTACTTTCTTTTCTTTTCCTTTCTCACTTTTTCTCTTTTGGAGTTTGCTTAGTGCATACTGCTTTCTAGATGGTGCTTTACAAAAGAAAAGGCTCCTTAAAGTCCCAATCAGGGGCAATATATATTTTTCTCTCCATGTTTAGCACATGTTCATGGATTTAATCAGTTTTGTTTAGTCAGTTTGCCTGAGCCTGACCATCTACTTTTTGTTTACTTACGAGTTTGCTTGCTTTTTACAGTGGATGCCTGAATTAAGAAGATTTGCACCAAATGTTCCGGTTGTTCTTGTCGGAACAAAACTTGGTAGGCCTCGCCTGAAAGATCACATACTCCACAATTTCCAGTGTGAAAAAAAACATTATTGATCTTTACTGGCTCATGATTGTTGCAATGCAAAACAAGCTAAAGGTTTTTTCCCATTTTCCATCAGATCTTCGCGATGACAGAGGATACGTAGCTGATAACATGGGATACAATTTTATTACAACTGCTCAGGTGAAAGGCTATGACATTTACATTATTAAGTAATGTATGGTTTTGCTTCACGTGCGAAGCTCATGAAGCTTTTGATGAACAGGGTGAAGAGCTCAGGAAGCAAATTGGTGCCGCAGCTTATATTGAGTGCAGCTCTAAGACTCAACAGGTCATTGCTATTTACAAGAATTGGAAACGTGTCTGTCACTTGGAGGATAAAATGCTCTCCTGTCTGATGGTTCATGGTACTGCTCGTAGCTAACAACAATTACTGTTTCAATATTCAGAATGTCAAAGCCATCTTCGACACTGCAATCAAGGTGGTGCTTCAGCCTCCTCGGAAGAAGGAAATGACTAGAACTAAAAGCCACAGGAGGTCGAGCTCTGTGATAGCGTACGCACTCTAATATTCTTTTCTTGCTTCAATCTGTGAGCTATCATCTTGCAGTGAGAAGTTTTCAGTTCGTGATGCTATATTTTAATCAGGGGAAGCATACTTTGTCACCTAGATCCAACAATTCGTAGTACTCAGTGAAACCAGTTTAGTGCATTTGGACATGCAAAATTTTGTAGTTAGAAAGAGACATTTTAAATAGTTTTCTTTTTATCTTTTTCTGTAAGTTTTGTTAGGACTGGTTGAAAGAGTCACATAAGAGTGCCTTGATCGCTAATTTAATTCATAGTTAAGATGTGTGCTTTAGTAGAGTCGATGAACAAAGACAACCATTGTCATCTACGGATCATGAATCAAGATATGTTATTTCTGCTGGAACTACACTGTTAGAGAAATTACGGTGTTGAGGTGGAAAGAGTCATATCAGACACCTCTTGGGTTTCTTCAGTTATATACCAGTTCAAGTCAAGTAACTGTAGAGTAATCTTCTCAAGATCAATGTTATGTTGCGCTAGAGCCTTGCAGTTCGTATGATGCTAGGATGACAATGCTATTTGCATGATGCTGTGACGACAACATGAGCTGCCTTTTTAATATTGACCGTTCTTACTCTTCTCCTTTGGCATTGACGGAGCATGTTTTTTAGCTACTATAACTTAACATGTTGTCATTCTGTTTCTGTTTATCTCATCATTTTACCTGATTAGACACATTCATCCAACACAACTTTGCTAGCTCAATGCCTACATTAATAGCAGACGGTGATTTTTCCGTTGAACGGAGCCTTTCTTTTGCTGCAGGAGTTTTATGTGCGGAGGCTGTGTCGCTTAATGCATATCTAATAGGAGATCGACATCCTACAAATGCTTTTTTGGGGACTGCCGAGGAGCTCCGATTCTTAGAGGTTCAACCTAAGCATAATTTAAGTATATGCGCTGACTGTGTTTCTTTGTAGCTGCACATCCTTTGCCGTAGGCCTCAGCTCGAAATGTCAATCTATTATTACCTTATTTGAATCTTGGAGGTTACTGTTGATTCTTCATGTGTCTTAGGTTCCAACTGCTGTTCCTAATGTAATCTCTATTAGCAAAGTGTCGAAAATGTATCCCGAAATTCTGATTGACCGATAACATTCGATCTCTCCATTGTTTTGGTTCTTCCAATTTTATCAGTGTCAACATATATTTTGCGCTTCGCATGCTGTTTGTTCTCCGGGGCTACCGTGAACTGTCACAAGAGCCCTTGAATCTGATTGCCTGTAGCAATTATTTACTGACATTTGCGTAAGGATTGACTCCGGATAGTTCAATCCTATTAGAAGCTAATTGAGCATTACCCGTAGGATTTTTGCGCCGCCTTCGACTGCAGTTCTTTCGCCAAAATGCAGCAAACGCAACTCCGCAACATCATTTGAGAAGAGCAAGGACCTCCAATCTGCACCCGTGCAAACCTCATTTAGACAATCTCCCGCCTCGACGCTCCATCATACATTGATGTCCTATTAGGATGTGCAAAAATTGCAATCTCAACTGCAAAATTAACCCATCCAAACACAAGTATAGAATGTCAACCTGTACTTGATCATGTTAGTCCAACGTCTTCAGTCTGTAGCTTCATGTCTGTGAGGCACATGAAAGGAAGCATCACAGAGTATGCACATAAACAAACAATAATGCACAAGTCTCTTAGACGATGCACCAATTAATATGTACAAAAATATTTCTGCAGCATCGATACAAGTTTCGTATCGATAAGTTGTGGAATCATAGGCTTCTCAATAGATTCGCTCATATGAGTTGGTCGAGCTAGGCTCGGACCAGGCTCGATACGAGGGCGCACTAACATCCGCACCGAACAAATGACCGACGGTCCAACTTGACCCGAGCCATACCTTTTAACGTAGAACTCTTTGTTCAAACTCGCTTCTCTGGATGCCTATCGAGCATAGGAGAGCGCCCAAACTCATGAACAATTCTATGGTTTGGTTAGATAAAAAAGGAAAAGAAAATGCAACGATCGCCATTGGTCAGTGACACAGAGACCATACGAAGGACCAGTAAGTCTAGCAAAACCTCCCGAAGCGTCCACGAGAGCAGAGCGGCCTTATTGAGAGACACAGAGAGAGAGAGAGAGAGGAAAGAAGGAACGAAAACCTGCAAAAACCTCCGGCAATGGCGTCTTCGAAGGTGGTCTCCAGGTTATCCTCTCGGCTGCGCCTTCTCTCCTTCAAGCTCAACCAGTCCCCGCTCTCTCCCTCAGCTCCGCTCCCCTCCTCCGCCTCCGCCTCCGCTTCCGCTTCTTCCAGGCGCTTCTCTCGCGCCTTCTCGCGGTAAAGAAATGACTCGAATCGCGCTCGTGCTAATTTCGACACAGAAGAAGCAAAAGCGTCCGTCTTTTCGCTACTACTGTGCTGGGCACTCGTTTTAACTTCCTGGGTCGTCCCCAGATTCAGCGCGTGTGTGTTTGTTTGTGATGATTTTGGGTGGTGTCAGGTTGCCCTTGGAGTTGAGCGGCGGCGTCGAATCCTTGATGCCTCTCCACAGCGCCATCGCCTCGGCGAGGCTCCAGTCGAGCTTGGCAATGGAGTCCCAGAGCTGGGGATTAGTGCCTCAAGGTCCGGTTACACTGTCGCACTGTATCTTCTTTAAGTAATGTTTCGATTGTGTGGTAACTGGTAAATTGTGGATTTTGATGACCCGTGTGAGACTACTGGTGAAAAAACTGAGTTGCTGGGAGCTAAGCAGTTTTGATGTATGTCTTGCGGTTTTGGTTCCCTAAGCATTTGTCCGCTGAGATGGTTTAGATTGGCACAGTAACCAGATCGTGTATCATCTTTTTTAGAACTTCTTTATCTGCACTGGACATGCGTATCATTTTCCGGATGACAAAGGATCCAGTTACATGGTGTGGTTGTGATAGAGTCAAACACGAGTTGTAGATGGGGTGTATAGTTCTGAAAATAAAGTTTTCTTCTTTTTTGGAGAATGAATGTTGGTGATAGGTTACGAATCAAATTTGAAATAAATGTTTAGATCTGACTTTATCTTGTCAGAGAATTGAAGATCAAATGTAAAAGGGTACTTTATAATCTAGAATGGCTTGTGGATGAGAAAGATTGTTGGAAGTACCAAGCAGGGTGCTTGGCTTCATCTACTTAAAGTAGATGCACGATTCGGTCACTTTGGCTGCTTGTTTCCTTCAATGTACTTAGCCCCGTTTTGTTCTATCTTTTGGATATCTCTTCGTTTGTTTGCTGCTTTCACATGGTGTCCAAAGCTTCTGCATGATATAGATAGTTTAAATGACAATTTATAGTTTTTTATTGAGTGATGTTCATCTTTCATATAAAACATCAAAGTCTGTTTTTTAAGAAGTCTGGGCAGGCTGTATCGCATGATGGGCCCGTTTGGTTCGGCTTTTCAAATGCAACTTGGGGGAATGCAAATACCTTTAGGTGAAAGCCACTTGGGGAAATGCAAGTGGTGTTTGGTAAAAAATTGTGAAGCTACTTTGGCCTAAGTAGTGTTTGGTAAATTTTTTTGCAAAGGGCTTTGGCAATTTTTATTCTTAATATTCCGGTTTTGCCCCTATTACTATTCATCTTCTTCACTGGCGAGGGTGGCTCGCGAGGGCCGGCGAGGGCGGATCTGGCCGCGAAGGCCCGGCGAGGTCGCGCTGACCTAGGCGACGGTCGCCCGACCTAGGCGACGGCCGCCTAGGGTCGGGCGACCGCCAGCGCCGTCGCCTCGGTCGAGCGACGCCGCCGGCCCTTTGCCGGCCAAATCCGCCTCGCCGGCCCTTCACCGGCCACCCTCGCCGGCCATCCTCACGGTGAAGAAGATGAAGGTGACCGGGCAAAACCGGAAAATTGAAATTTGAGTGAGGGCAATTTGGGAAGGAAAAATAGGCTTCAGCATTCCAATGGCATTCCAAATGCTGGCTTTCGGCTTTCCGAGCCCGGAAAGCCGAACCAAACGGTTCAGCATTTTGGGAAGGGGCTTTGAGGCGAAGCCCCTTCCCAAAGTTGAACCAAACGGGGCCGATATGGAGATGTCTTCGTGACTGTTCAACTTTTGTAGCTTTTTTAAGCAATTATTCAATAGTTCTTCTCTGGCCAAAGAAAAAAGAATCAGTAGTTCCTCAGCATTTGTAATTGGCAGTCACCCATAGCATGGGGGCAAGGAAAAGGATCGCTATCACTTTGGTTAGTTGGCGTGGCTGCACACAAGTGGCCTTGCACTCTAACCTGGTGGAGATGGAATTTGATCCATACTCTTTTCAACAGCATCAAGTTTTCTCTGTTTATGGTTAAAGCTTCTGTTCTCTGCCTTGTGTATCCTGGCTGGAGCTTGCTCATCTGGTCCATAAAAGAGATGAATCTGTTTGAATGTGATTATAGGCTCTTTCTTTTCACCATAACCTGGAAAGTCTTTCTAATTGGCTAAGCGCATTTAATCTTGCCTTCAAGACTTAAATTGATGGGATATCTTGTCCAACTATAGGCACATGCATCACTCGTTTTTGTGCAGAGCAGCTGGAAATGTTTTATGAAGGGTTACATTAACCCGGTGGAGATGGAATTTGACCCATACTCTTTTTGACAGCATCAAGTTTCCTCTGTATATAGTTAAGCTTTTGCTCAATTTCATTGATGCTTAAAATTTTACCACTTGTTGAAATGATTGTGGAGCTGCCTGTGGAATTATCTCTGCCCTTTTCTATGAGTTACTGCGAACCATTGGAGTTTGTAGTGGTTCAAGATGAATGGTACATCGAAAATAGTATATTGATTGTTGGAACCTGTGTTTTGCATGCATGCTTGTTTAGAGTGTCATTTCAGTCAGGCTATTTATAAAAACACAAAACAGTTTCTTGTCACTGCTCAGAGACAACAAGAGCAACTTTTGTTGTTGTGAGATGTTCTCTGCCTTTGTGTGTCCTGGCTGGGCTTGCTCATCTGGCCCATAGAAGAGATGAATCTGTTTAAATGTGATATACGGCTGTTCTGTTTTTGCATTCCTTCTAATCCAAATGCTGTATTTAATCTTGCCGTCTAGACGTAAGTTGATCAGATATCTTGTGTTACTAGAGGCACCTGCATCACTCATTTTTGTGCAAAGCATTTGAAAATGATATGTGGATTATTTGTATGAGGTAATTGAAATACAGTTGGCCAATCTGCACTCGTAGGACATGAATGATTCTTGACAATACTTTCCTCTGTCCATCTTGCAGGAATTTCTATGCCTTTATGACAGTCTATCAGAGCAGCGACTTTTTGAGGCAACCATTTTTCTTGTTTAGGGATGCAGATGGCATGTTGAGATTTTTTCTTGAGTCTAGTTTAAACAGTTCAAACTAATGAACGATGCTGGTAACTTCTACAAAGATCTGTCTCTCTTCCTCACCATCAATCATCATGCTCCTTTAATTCCTATGCAGAAATGATGCATGAGGATCTGGTTTGACTTTGATAAGGAATGAGCATGACTTTTTGCAAACTGCCAAATCAGTGTTGTAGAATTTTGCCTTTCTTTTCCTTCCATTATGGGAATATCTTTCATTTTCTAATAGCTCAATCTGTGTGGTCGCTGGTCGTTGAACATATAGATTTCAGCACAATTTTAGGTGACATATTTTAGCAGTTGAATATTACACGTAATCGGATGGTCACAAATCGTTAAAGAAAAAATTGTGCGAAGTTCTCCGTTGTAAAGCTAGATAGTTTAAGGTAACTCATCTTACTCTACTTAGCATCTAATAGCTCATATGATGCTCTCCAATAGAAGTCATGCTAACGCTCTCTTTCCTGTTTCTTTTTCTGTTTTAAGAGGATGCATCTACATTTAATCATGTTTCTTTCTGCGAAGAATAATTTATCAATATTTCAGTTAAATGAAGTCTTGTGCTATTACGCTTTTTGGTTTTGGCTAGCCAAGTTATAACTAAGAAATCTTCTTTGTATAAGTTATTTCGACTGTCTTAGTTATTAAGGACTTGGATTCTTGAAATTGCGATAGTTAAACACAGCCTCTGAAAATCAAAACATGCAGTGAAGATAATTGTGCGGTTACCAATATATCCCCCTCCTACACAAAAATTAGAATTCCGCATTACTCATTAGCCAATTGATGATAAAGTTCTCGAGCTAATCAGTTACATTGATAGCTTTCAGTCCAAAAAAGAGACTGAGTAGAGGCAGAACAGATAGAGTAGACTCTATCAAGAATGAATCGGACACCAAGACTTCCCTTGGAGGATTTACCAGTCCCTCAAAAATTCTACACAATCTGCATATTTACATTTGATAAGCTCTTACTGTACTCTACACATTCAAAATCCAAATCTCTCTCTTTGCCTTTTTCCTCCTTTTTTGTCTCTCGTCTTTCTCTTCAGTGCCGAGCCGTCGGGCTTCTTAGCCCACTCAAGTTCTCAAGCTTCTCTAAATAGGAAACCTTCTTTATACTAGGAACATTTGGTGATCTGCTCACAACATGTCCATCGTCATCTACAACAAAACTTTCTAAATTGCTTATGGAGCTATCCTTCTTCACCATGCTCTCTTCCTTCCCTAATTTCCAGCCCATGAAGTCGGACAGTGTCTTTGAATTTGGTGTTTCTGCAGTTTGCAAGGCCTCTGCCTCTTCCTCGTCATTTAAGGGTGACTGGTCAGGTGCTGCTAGTGATGGATTTTGGGCCAGAGAGTCTGCGTAAAGGACATCCTCTATTCTCGAAATTACTGTGAATGCCAAGCTCTCTATGACTCTTGAGTAACTCTCCAGGATTGACTGTCCCACATCCTGTCAATATTAGATGGTTTTAGCAAGGAGAAGGTAGTGCAAGAGCACCAAACAAAAGTATTGGCTAGCAAACATAGTTTCTATTTCTGATGTGACCAAATGCATAGGTAAACTTGCAGAGCTAGAGGTAATGGTGAACCAATGAGAGTATGTGGTGGTACAATAAGTGGCTCTTGGATTTGTTTCCTTCAACGGTCTAGTTCTGTTAAAGAAGTTTCTTTCGAGGATGTTCTGGCCTGTAGATTGTCTCTAAGGATTTTACTGCACTAGACATTTTGTTCTTTACCTTGTTAAATTGGATTTTCGAGGTGTCGAGAGAGGACTGTGGTATCCCGGGGAACCGCTGTTTGAGAAGGATGAGGATGGTCTCAGCTCTCTCTTCAAAGAGTTCCCTCTTCTCCAAGCTTATAGCTGATCCCCATGGTGACTTCCCGTCCTTCTGGTGCATCTTCCGCATCCAGATCACAATGGAGGCCTCGATCTTGTCCTTGAGGTCCAGGACTTTGTGTTCTGTTGATAAGTCCATGGTGGACAAGAATTGATCAGGATCAAAGTACTCCACTGTGATGCACTTGTAGATTGAATCACCAAGGCTTGCTCTACCATTCTGCCCAAAAATAGTCACAATTTTTTAGTTTAGATCTTCTAAACACGAGAAGTTGTCTGCACAATGAAGCCAATAGGATCATTGTTTTGTTCTTTTGCCTTCAGATAATGAATTACTAATCTTATGTATAGTCAGGTGATATACTGTGTCATTGAATTATTAATTGGATTACGTGTTTGTCCTACCTTAGGAAGGGACTCAATGTAGTCCTCCGGAATCGACATTTCTGACAATACTTGAGCATTTATGGCCATTGCTGCTTTTAGAACTTGGTTCACTGATTCCTTCTGGAACAGCAGCCATTTCCGTGAGCCATCAGATAGGCCGTCCGGAGGAACTTTGACAGTTGGTAGCCACCATTTATCATCTTCCCTGGGTGCTTTCCCTTTCTCAGATTCTTTAGCATTTCTAGAGACATACCAGAACTCATTTTGACCACCAAAATTGTCCAGATAGCCCTGTTCATGATCATAAGAAACCATATTAATACAGCTTTGAAGATGTTTTGCTTCCTTCTTTCTGAGCAAGTCAAGCCATTGCAGGAACTGACTATTAGCATGGCGTCGAGCTTGCGCAGCGCTGGGATGTTCATGTGCAGATCGTTTCTTTGTCGCGTTACCATGACCTGCAAATTGGGATTTGCACTAGTCAGGATTGGTTAAGGAAGAGATTTTCAAACAATGCATTTCCGAGAGAGAGAGAGAGAGAGAGAGATGACCTCCATGTTGGTTCCATCTTGGGACTTTTGCGTCGAGGGAACAAATTCGACGATGTGTTCAGTCACAGATAAAAGCCAGTCGATTTCTTTTCTCCATCTAGCCTTCCTCTCTGGATTCATTGGCTCTAGCCGTCGTTGCTCTCCGAAAATGGAAGCTGCATTAATACAAAACAAAGCATGAATTGCCATGTATTTTGTGCCATTTCTCAATAATAAAAGCAGAAGCCCAAAATTGAAAATCTGTCAGAAGGAAGAATTGAAAATACCAGCAAGATTTGTGATTGCATTTGACAGAGCCAAAGCTGAAGAAACACCCTTTCCACCACCGGACATGTCCTCACCCAAGAGCAGCTTGGCGAATCTTTCCTTCATCAGCTCCATGTCTGCAAGAAAAAGAACCAAAAGTCAATCCAAATCACTAGTTTCTCACCAGCATTGTCATTAACATTTTTACCTTGGTTTATCATTTGTGTTCACCTTTTATAATTTACCCTCATATTTCAGACTGAATTTTTCAAGAATCAATGATTTAGGCAAATTCAGATTGGTCAACAGAGGGAAGAAGTTAAATTGTGGGTATGCCTATATCCTGTGCTTATGTGTTTTTACCTGATGATGATGCCATGGCGGGTGAGCTAGCTGTTGTTGCTTCATCTCCTTCAAGGCCCGAAACAGGATCATTACTCCGATCGAAAACCCAACCAATGTCTTGGTTCTCCATCAATTCCGCGGTTCTTGAGCCTGGGCTTCTGAACTGAAGCCCATCCGCGACTCCGTTGTCGAGAACCGCATGGCCTTGGTTGTGCCGGTCGAATATGCGCTTGAAATGGAAGGACTTCGACTTCTGCATGCTACGCTCGTGTTCGAGGGCCCGAACCATTGATGACTCGATTTAAAACCTCTTATCGGTTTCTCTCTGGAAGAATTGCAAGACCTGTAGAATCTGCAAGAGTTGGGAGGATGAAAAAGGTGGGGAGAATGAAGGGGAAAGAGGGAGATGGAAAGGAGGAACAGGAATGGCGATTGGTCTTGTTTTGTTGATCTTTTGCAGGAGTTGTGGGGTTGAGAACTGAATTGGTTTGTCTGAATGGGGATGAAAATGGACGTGGGGTGCATGTTTTCTTTTGTTGTTGGTCTTTCAGGGAGGGAGAGAGTGACATGGTGGGAGGGTTGGTTTTGGGAATGGATGGATGGGAGGGTCAATGCTTACCAAGAAGCCCGGCAAAGACATTCATCCATAACTAAAATAGGAAGCTCTCTCCCTTAGCGTTTACCTTTTCATGCTCATCTAATCATCACTAAGCAATATATTCACCATTAGTCTTGTCTAAATTCTTATGTAGCATTTATGTATTTTGTGCTCACTCCTCCAAAATTCTCTCTTCAATGAAAAAGTAATTTGTCGTGTCAATGTCATTATTTGCTAATGAATTAGTTGTTTTAATATTGTAGACGGAACTTTGTTAAATGAAAATGCACATCGACAATGGGGTAGTTCGTTTGAATTCGCTAGTTGATATGTCGTAGTTATCAACCTTTACGTGAAATACCACCCTTATTCTGAGTGACTTATCAACATTTATTCGATTAAGTTATCAATTAATTTGAAGCGACTAATTCTTATTCGAATTACTTATCTACCTTCCATCGATTGTTTCGACATAACCAGCTTTCGCAACAATCGACTGACTTTTATTTGTGTATTTTATGAACGTTTAAAATCAATTAACTTCTTTATTTACTTCCCAACTTTTTTTAATTAAGATACCAACTAGTTTAGATTACTAACTCTTTACTATCTTTTATCTGCATATGCACAAACATTTTATTTCAATTACTGTCGTTATTTGTGATATTTATCAAATTATTTTCGAATAAGTTACAAAGTTGTCTAAGATTGCTTACTCTTACTTGAGTTGATTACCAATGTTTGTTTGTTCATTTTGAAATTACCAACATTTCAAATGACTTATCAACTTTGATTTGCATAACTTACTAACGTATTTTTATTACTAACTCTTGTGTCAAATTACCAAACTTAACTCAAGCTAATTTACCAACCTTTTTTCCTATTAAGTTACCAACTTTTGAGTCACGTGCCGATATTGTTTGGTCGTTTCGAAATTACCCACTTTTAGAACGACTGTCAACTTTTATTTGCATCAACATTCTTAAGTTATCAACTCTTTTGTCAAATGACTTCTCTAAATTTGAGTTACTTGTCAACTTTTTTTCGATTAAATTACTAACTAATTTTATATTATCAACTCTTATATGAGTCACAAAACACCATTTATTTGGTTCTTTGAGATTACCAACTTTTGTAACTACTTGTCAACTTGTATTTACAAAACTGACTGGGCTTCCTAACTTACCAACTCTTATATCAGATTGCTAGTCAATTACCAACATTTATTTCGTCGTTTTCGAATTAACAACTTTCGCAATAACTTATCCACCATTTCTGTAATGTCTACCTCACTTAATTAGTTCCGTGCTGATAATTCCTTGAGCATTAGCAGGAAAAATTTTTGGCCAACAGCATTAGCAAGCTTGAATTTGGAAACCTTTTTCTTCAAACTATTTGGATTCTATCCCTTTAAAAACTATAGCATAGAACTAGATATCATCTAAATGGCTAGCTAAAAAGACACAAAAAAAAATATTGGGAGTGTACTTATGTCCAGATTCTCGAATTTGAAGCTATATTACTTGTCATATGATGTGTTGAATTAACTTTCTAGTTAGAATGTTTGCCACCCTTATACGCATCTTTTTCGCACTTGGTCTCTACATGTGATTATGGAATCCATGACTATGTGCAATTACTAGATATGATTCATATGAAATATCTTGAAATGGAAGTCATCTTGAAGATTGGTCAAAATTTAAAAATGTAAAAAAAAAAGTCACTTTTAAATATTTGCTGAGCAAAAACGATTCTGCTAGAAACAATTTGAAGGGTCGGTGTGTTGCTTGAAGACTCCATCATGTCGACAGCATGACTTATGAATCCATGAGTTGATGTTTGGATTAAGAATTCATGAAGTGACATTCATTCCCAGATTAATTTCTGTTGAGATTTTTAGGACACTAACGTTATTGACAGCACTTTCCCTGTTAAAATGTCTGTTGATCCGTCTGAAGAAATTACCAAGAGCTCTTTGATGCTTGAATGATGCTTAGGGAAATTTCCATTTTTTGTTTGATTTCACGGAAAAGGGACTCCTTTGCCTGTAAGTTTCCTCTCACTGCACTAAAGTGTCCACTTTTACATTGAGACCCACTATCATGTGTAATTGCTAACAATCATGGACAAAGGCAAGATTTCCTTTGAAACCATGCATTTGGAAATTTAAAGTGAAAGTCCAAAAGTCTTGAATGTTAATTTTTCTTTTGGCCGGTAAAGGTCTTGATGTTGGTATTCATACATTTTTCCCCTAATAGAGAAATCCTAAGGCAGGTCCGAATTCCCCCAATCTTGATAGATAAGATTAATCACAACGGGTGAGATTCGTCCGAACTCGAACCTAGATGGATCAAGTTTACCATAGTTATAAATCATGTCAGATGATCGACAGCTGAGATTGTGCCTTGGTTCATGCAAATCTTTTTCCTTGATCGTCCCTTTAACAAGTTTGACGTGGCCTGTTCAATTTTTATTGCATAGGTTCGCATGCGTCTTTAGCACCCTCCTCCATTTCTTTATCCCACTGTGTCAATCAGCTCTTACTGATTGGATTGCTCCACATAAAAAAGATTTTCAGATACTTCTCAAAAACGACACGTTTTCATTCGTCCAAACACCGTTGTGCTATGAAGTTAGATCATCTCCATCCATCACCAGTTAACCATTATACAAATCTTTTCACCTTGAACAAAATGAAATAGTTATGTATTGATGATGACCCCCCACCAACACAAGCACTGCCTATCTGCTTTTTTGGCTAAGCAACATCGCAACAGAGGCACTACTTGCATTCAATCCCAACAACCATATCGAACCATGGACAGCATCAACTTGAGACGGAATTAACGTGGAGGGCCCTGTTGTACCCAGACACCCGTTGCCACCACTGGTGCCTGGGTCCAGAGCTCAGTGACGAATCAATGCTCGCTCTCTCTCTCTCTCTCTCTCTCTCTCTGTCTCTCTATAGTGAGTGATGAGCCATCCTCTCTGCTTTTTATATTCGGTCTCTCCACTGTCTACGAAACGGTATCGGTTGGGATTCTTTCACCTCGCTCTAGTGTCTCTTCGCTTCCCCTTTTGGTACTCTCTAATCTCTTCCGTGGGAGTGTAAAGAGAACCCCGTGTTCTTGTTCTTCTCTTTAGCTCACCGAAACAGAGGTTTGAGCTTTTTGTCTTTTCCTTTTCTGGGAAAGAACCTGCAAATTTCAAGAATTTCTGCACCTGGCAGTGATAGTTCCCATCAGAAAGTTACTTGAAGCCACAGGCTCTCTTGGGTCATCACCAATTCGTCGTCTTTCTTGAAATCCGTCAACCAAATTGTGCTTTGCAAGATGGTGCAGCTACACTCCAAGTCCGATTCTGATGTCACGAGCCTAGACCCATCTTCTCCAAGATCCCCAAAGCGCCCAGTTTACTACTACCAAAGCCCTTCAGGAGAGTCCAACGATGGGGATAAATCGTCCCTCATGCATGCTACCCCTGCATTTAACAGCCCCATGGAGTCTCCTTCTCATCCCTGCCATTCTCGGGGCTCTTCGGAGAGCCGGTTTTCAGGGCCGTTTCGATCTTCTCATTGGACCAAAGGGAGTAATGGGAAGAAGAGGAATGAGAAGGATTGGCCTGAGTGTGATGTGATCCAAGAGGAAGGTGATTATAAGGATGTGTTTGGGGATAATGGGCTTTCAAGAAGGCTTCAGGTGCTGATGGGCGTTCTTGGATTTGTGGTGATTTTTGGTGTTTTTTGCTTGATCATTTGGGGTGCTAGCAGGCCTTACAAAGCTCAGATCAGTGTTAAGGTTTGTCAATATATATGTTTTTTTAATATTATTTGGTTGCTAATCAGTTAAGTCATTCTCCATCTAGACAGATGCTATATTTTATAGCTGGGCATCTTGTCTTGTTTAATATATTGGTCATATTCTTGATTCAGAATCTTGAATATTGATCGAGTTCATGTTTTAATTAGTACCAATACGGTTTAATCTAGTGCGACTCCTGCAATGTTTTAGTAATTAAAGACGGAATCAATCAGCTATTGTTTGTATATCATATTTCCATAACATTGGGAAGAGCTATTAAGCCTGACCATTTGTTCAATTTGAGCTTCAGTAGGAATTGAGTTCTCAAATCTGTCCTTGCAGAGAGCGGAATGTATGGCAATAGCATTTCTTGTGGCTTTTCCCAGGACAAAACATAAGATCTCGCTTTTGTACTGTCCTTAGGAACTGAAGATCGTGGTTTATCTGGTGGATGAGTGTAAATTGTCCATTTTCATAAGCTTTTGCCTTTTCCTTTTGCAGCAAACAAATTTTAAAATGTTAGCAAGCACGTACTCTACTTGGCACAGTTTATTAGTTGCTTTCGAAGGTTTTAATTTTCTTTTGAAAAGAAGGAGGAGAAAAAAGGGAAGGATTTTCCCCCATCCGTTGAAGGGTTAACAAAAGGAAGAAGCTCTCTGTTTGTCATATTTTATCACGCCCTTAGGGCTACTCCTCAATTCTCTGATATAGTCTGGAGAAAATTTATGACCGTAGAATGTGACACATGAGGCTTTCAGCCTGATATCCTCTCTCTCTCTCTCTCTCTCTCTCTCTCTCTCTCTCACCCACCCACCCACACACACACACACAACCCCACACCCCAAAGACACAAAGCAGAGTTTTTTTCACTAAAATGCAATAATAATTGGTGGATGCTGAATCTAAGTTTCATTTCCAGCAGTTTCGATTTGGATTTTTTGGGGCACTTCCTCTGTTCTTATAATTTCTAGGATAAAACTAGTCACTCTTTTGATGATCACTCAGGCTTTTCCCATTGGTAAGTGCTTGAATGTGAATATCTTCGAGCATGTAACTTCGCAGGAATCGGCTGTCTGGGAGTGTGAGGCTTCTTAGACATCTACTTGTTCTAGGTTGCCATTATCGTATTTATGTCAAGTTTAAGATTCTTAAAAGTGTTTATTCAATGGGCTACCTGCATATTTTACTATGGATTTGAGAATGCAGAATTTTGTTTCTGGCTTTCCAGTTTCTTCTCAAAAAGGTTGCTTTCCCAGAAAACGCTTTCTGGATTCTGATCTTCAGATCATTTCAACTCTGTGGACAATGAGTTTTTGAGCTTTGTTTTCACATTAGTTCTCATGATAATCATTTCTTCGTGCAAAAAATGGAGGAAAGAAGATTTTGCTTTTCGTTTTTGTCTAGGAAGTGTGTGGTTTGTGATGTCTTTTGCTTCTGTCGACTGTCTTCTGTCTAGACCACTGGCCAGAAGGGTAAAGGGGTTTCAGTGTTCATACCATTCTCTCTCTCTCTCTTCCTACAGAGCCTCACAGTGCATAACTTCTATGTTGGGGAAGGATCAGATTTGACCGGAGTCCCGACTAAGATGGTGACAATGAATTGTTCAATGAGGATGACCGTGTATAACGAGGCCACATTTTTTGGCATTCATGTCAGCTCTGCACCTGTCAATATAATGTTCTCAAAGATTGCAGTTGCAACTGGTCAGGTAAGAATTCCCAACATCTTCTCGTGCGTGTGTTTCAATCACATGGCTATTATAATGTTGACAAGATGTAGACGGCATTCTGAGAAGTGAAATTACTCGTTGTCTTTCTTGCTTCAAGATACATTCATAATTGACTCCATTTCTTAGCCAAAGACGGAAACATTCTTGGTCTTTCTTGGCGCGTGAAACATGTCGAATTGCCTCAACCGCTACTTGCTAATGTGAACACATTGCTTGATTACAGCTTAAAAAGTATTATCAACCAAGAAAGAGCCATAGGACGGTGGCCGTGGTCCTTGAGGGGGATAAAGTTCCGCTTTATGGAGCTGGGGCGAGTCTAACCGATTCTAACAACAATGGAGTAGTTCCGTTGACCTTAGTATTTGAAGTCCGATCGCGAGGGAACGTGGTAGGAAAGCTCGTCAGGTCGAAGCATCGAAAGAGAATATCTTGCTCTCTTGTTGTGAATCCACGTAGCAACAGAATCATCAAGTTTAAGGAGGATTCATGTACATATGACTGATCAGTCTAGATTGATCCACAATTCCTCAGTGAAGGGCTCTGTCCTGACGGCGAGGGAACTCGTTTTAGCTATCAGCTTTGCTTGCTTTCAGTTATCTGGTTTTACTTGCCCTTTTAGAGGAGAAAAAAAGAGTGTTCTTTAGATACATAGCTTACAATGGAGTGAGAAATGTACCGGAGCTTAATTTGTATTGTAAAGCAGAAAAAATGCTGTACCGGCAGTGGAATGAGTTCGGAATATAAACAACATTGAAGAACTATTTGTGCTCTCTTCTATGTTGCAATTATGACATCATAGTTCCAAAAATTTGCAATCTCTTCGGATTAATTAGCTCATGAGATCTCCAGAGGCAGTGCCACTGAACCCTTGCCGAACCCTCTGGCTGGTCACGAATGATATAGCTAAGTAGATATTTAGACACAAAAAATCTGAGCCCATGACTGCCCAAGCAGCAGATGCACATCTGATCTAACGCTTCCATTTCTCATTGTAACATCAATTTTCATCAGTTTAAGCCCTACCAATAAATAAATACAAGAGGCATGGACAAGAAAAGCAATGAGAGTTACTTCACCCTATAGAATCATATACTGAAAAAATGCCACTCTTTCCTCGTTGAGTGGAAGCCTCAGGCTGAACCTTACTGTTCAGATGGTGAAATGGTCTGTTGCTTGTCTACAGCACAGCCTGTTTCAAGAACTGTTCCACCAATTCTATTGGGTGGCCAGTAGCGAAATATTGATCTTCCTATTATATTCTTTGCCGGAAGTGGCCCCCTGTGCAGATAATCCAACATATTAGCAAAAAGCGGGCGACTTTTGGTCTTGATGTCATGAAAAAATGATTAGGACTTCAGAGGATCGGGTGGTCTTACCATACATGCGAATCATAACTGTTGTTACGATTATCTCCCATCACAAACACTGAGTTCTCTGGTACACGCTGGCAAATGGATTATCCAGATATGGAAGTCAGGTACAAAGAGCTAATCTTAAATAACCAGCTAAAGAATAGGATTGGATTCCTATTTAGAGGAAAGAGAGATTTATGCGATTCAAAGAGTGCACTAACTATCACTGTACTCACAATAGGTGTCATGTTGTATGAAGGTGGTTCAAGAATGAAACCCTCGTTTCTCTCAACTCCATTAACAAAAAGTTTTCCCGCACGAACCTGAAATAATAGCAATTTACATCAAACTCCAGTCCTGGAAACCAGACGCAGAGAAGGCAGAAAGAATATATTAAATCAGTTGAGTGAATCCCTTAGCTTAAGATATAGTTTACTTCGCATGCATCATTAAAGCCAATTAGTCCAGGTAAATCTTTCACAAAGAAATTTAAGAATTTACAAGAAAAAAGGGGGCGGTAGAAAACGACAAAATACATGTATGCTCAATTTGTATGAGGCTTTAGAGAACCCATTACAAGCATGCTATTAAACATTATGCAAGGAGAAGATGATGATCTCTAATTACTCCTTGATCTTTTATGCATAAAACACACAGAGTACACAGAATATAAGAATCCACATTCATTATTTAGCAGCCTCACCTCGACAACATCACCTGCCTTTGCAACCACTCTTTTGATGAAAACATCATCATCAGTATATCCTACTTCCTGAAGAACCGGAGGACTTTTGAAAATCACTATGTCATTGGCACATGGCTTTCTAAAGTAGTATGAAACCTGGAAGACACAAGTACAGCAACAATTAAGATAAGTAACACCAAACTATTCTATCAAAGACCTGCCCGCACACTCTAGCTTCCTATGTCCAGTTAACTACCTTCTCAACAGAAGTCTGAATACAATCAATCACCACAGACAACAAGTTCTGCTTAACAAGGCAAGGACACTAAAAATATTAGTTCCAGCCAATATCACTCACTTCAGTATTAAAAGATCGATCGTATCTTATGTAGACCCAACATATTGCCAAAAAATCAGGTGCTTTACTTTTCCCAATCATCTTCACAACTAAGTTAGCCTAATTTCACACCACGGGAGACACGCCATTCACTTAACCAACAAGCCAATCTCTATGTAGTAATACGTACAATATCGATCTTTTCTTTTTCCCTTTTATCATGCAAATAGACCATAAATCAGGATGCTAGAATTTTTCCAAGACTGAATTTTCAGAGGACCAACTTTCCCTATGAATAAGAAATTTCCTGATTTTTGCACAACGACTGCTCAGTTTATCGCATGGTGACTCTCCCAGTCTTGTTACCATGCTAAATGAATCATCATGTTGATCGCCAAAAACATAATCTTTTCTGATTCTCATTTCCGGAGAAATCTTTTGCCTATTAGCTATAACACAGCTCAAAGTCTCAAACACCCAGCTCCAAGCACTACCTCATCCACTGATAAACAACATTCTTCAAGTCAAGCTAATCCATGAACTCTAGAACAGTGAGAGCAACTTTACTCATCCAACGGATAAACAAGACGGCAAAGATCAACTTCGAACCAATACCTTCTCCGCAACAATCCGATCACCAACATCGAAAGTAGGATACATGGACAGCGAGGGGATGTACCTAGGCTCCGCCACGACCGACCTGAACGCCAGCGAGATCGCGAGAGCCGCGAAGACCGTCTTCGCATCATCGGACGTGACATTCAACCAATCCGGAAGAATCCCACCCTGCTTCTCCACTTCCCCGTCATCCCCGCCGCCGCCCCCTCCGCCGTCCCCGCCGGAAGCGTCGAGCGCCGTCGGCGGCGGCTCGGTCTCTTCGCCTGAGCCCTTGAGCGCCTCCTTGCAATTGAGGCGGCGGGTCCGAGCTCCGGCGGCGAAATGCGCGGGGTTGGGGCGCGCGGGTATCGAAATGGACGGGCCGACTGGCCTGGAGAGGCGGAGGGGGGCGAGGCCGGCGGTGGTTCCGACGACGACGAGGGCGGAGGGACTTGGGGAGGTGCAATTAGGGTTTCGGAGGGGTAAAGGAGAGAGAAAGTGCAGACACGCCACCATGTCTCTCTCTCTCTCTCTCTCTCTCTCTCTCTAGCAGAGCTGCGCGTGGAGTTTTGTTCCGGTTGTCAGTTAAAAGGAGAGGAAGAGGAAGGTAGAAGAAAGGTCTTTCTTTTAACGATTTTTTTTAACTTTTTTTTCTTTCCCTACTTCTTTTTATTACTTTTCTTCTAAATGAATTTTGGAAAAAATCAGGGGAAAATTATAGTTACACATTAGTGTATGTATATTTTTGAGAGATTTCAAATATCTCCCCCCCAAATAAAACGGAAATTCTAGTATTTATAAAATTCTGAAAAATACAAAATTCGGGTTGAAAATGATTACATAGTTTTTTTTTTTTTTGGGCTAAGCAAGCAAAAGTTTTTCATTCAAGTGCAGAGGAATCTGCAATTAAGTAGAACAGTCTTAGATATGATTTTATTTAGTTAGGGCGACGGATATTTTAACTGACAATCATTTAGCGAGCTCGAAATAGATTTTCTCATATATTTTCGTCAGTGTTACGAGGAAATATATTTTCATTAGTGTTACGACGACATCCTACTGATTACCTTATTCTATCCCTGAAGATCGACGGATTACAGTAAGAAAAACTATATTCCTTTGAAGAGAATTAACAGTACAAAAGTTTGGCCGTGGAGGCCAACACTGTATGCATGGATCTGTAAACAGATACTCCATAACAATTACATACCAATAGAATCAGAGCACCGCAACCAAAGAGTGCAGAAACGAAAGCGAGTCAAAAACTGTTGCATCCTTGATATCTTCAGCTTGAAGAAGGGGCATCAAATATGACATCGCCGCCAAATTCTGTGGAGAGAAGGGTGTTGGCATTGTCGTGGCGATCCAGTCAATGTAGGACCACCGACCTGTATGAACTCACAAAGTGACCGCAAGGCGTGACCTGACTCCGATGCTGCTTCCTGCATTGAGGCGGTTGTACCCTGAACAAACGCGTGTTCTTCAGAAGGGCGGATTTTGTGGCCTTCCACATTTTCACAGACGAAGAAATGTGACCTTTTGGAAGCATTTTACTCCCAAGGGCCGTGGCGGGGGATCCATCTTTGTCGGATACAGCCGAGCCCGATGTTGGCGGAGGATCAGAGTAAGAAGCAGCAAGCTTGTGCTTTTGATATATACTCTCCAAGCTATGCATAGCTATATCATCCTTCTTGGTTGTCAGCTGGTTGTCTAGTTTATCCTTGTAATTGCTCACGACTCTTTTGGCCTCGGGCACTAGACCGATTGCGCGCCATGCGTCCGCCACCAGCTGGATAGTGCTCAACTCAGGAAGCACGCCCTTCTCTTCCATTGTTTCAAGCAAATCTTCAGCCTTCCATGGCTGTCTTGCTTCTCCGTATCCCCAGATAAGGGTCTCGAAGGTTTTCAAGTTTGGGGAAATGCCCACGTCACACATGTTCTTGTACACCCTCATTGCGTGCTCCATTTTGCTGACCGTGCACCATCCGCTGACGATGGTAGTGAAGATCACGACATTCGGGAATAATCCAGATTTCGCAATGGAAGTCAGCAGCCACTCGGCCTTCTTGGGTTCTCCGGTACGCGCATAGCCTTTGGCTAGGATGCTAAATGCATGGATGTCCGGTTCTATTCCGGCCTTCACCATGTCGTTGAAGATTTCTTGGCATTTCTCCATAAGTCCCGCTGAGCTCCAAGCATTCATTATAGTGCTGAATGTTACGACATCTGGTTTTACCCCAAATTCTTGCATCAATGTCAGTGCCTGATCACAATTTATGAAGATGAATCTGTTTTACAACCACTTAAGTAATGTCTATGCTTCTATGTAATATTCCAGTTTAGTGAAAAGATTCAGAAAGTGCGAAGGCAATTCGCTTTGTATCTTCACAGGTAGACTTCATCAAGATACCAAATGAAATGGTTTATCAATTGACAACTCAAATGTCATAAGTTTGCAGAGATGTCCAATGACATTATATAGAGAGGCAACATATCAACAATATGATGCGTTAAATAAGACTCACCTGATCTACGCCATCAGTGTCGGTAATGTCTAGAAATCCTTTAATAAGTGAGTTGAAGACAACAAGATTCGGATGCACCCCGAGACCTTTCATTCTGTGCATGAACCTCATGGCTTCTGTCATGTTACCTTCTTTACAGTAACCGCTTATGATGATGCCACATGTACGCTCATTTGGCATGACTTTGTTGTTCTGCATCTCGAGTATCATGCCCTCAGCCTTGCTCGTCTCTCCGTTCTGCGCATGAGCTCTGGCCAACGTGTTGAAAGTGACAACATCAGGTTGCATGCCGGACCCGACCATTCTGTATACAACATTCCATGCTTCCGTGATATTGTTCTTGTTACACCAAGCTCTGACAAGAATGTTGTATGTCCTTTCATTCGGTTTCAAATTTTCCTCTCTCTTCATAAGCTCTAGTAGTTTCAATGCTTCTTCAGGCTTACCCATGATTCCGTACCCTTTAATTAGAGTATTAAATGTGCTTGTCGTAGGCCTACATTCGCTGTCCTTCATTTTCCGGAATACTTTCATGGCTTCCCCAATCTTTCCAGATTCAGATAAAGCATTGATCACAGTGTTAAAGAATATTGCGTCAGGCTTCAAGCCGCTCTCCTCCACCCTAGAGATGAGAGAAGTGATGGAATCGAAGCGCTTCTGGAGGGCAAAAGCGGCCAGGAGAGTGGTATACGTTATGAGAGTTGGTCTGTGTCCTTCTTCTGTTAAGGTATTGAAAATGGAATGAGCCTCTTGAGGTTTCTTTCTTTCTATCAAGATGTTCATCAGCTTAGTTCTCGAACGAACCATCCTGCAACTGTTGTTGCCCAAGCAGACGAGGCAGCGGGATTGGTTTTGTAAGCTACTTGAACTTGAAACTGATTGAAAGTGATTGTCCTCTTGAAGAAGCCTTTCCTGTAAAAGAATAACAAGGAAAAGATCACAACTTGAACAACTTTTAATAGCAGCATAGCAAGGCGCGATGAGGTGTTTCTGAGAAACAAAATCAGGGAAAAACAGATGCATAGAAATAGTGAAGTCAGTCAATGAGAAAGAGTTAAGGTGATATAACATGATTGGCAACGATTTGACCTGCTTCTTGCTTGAAATGGTTTCCTCCTGCTGTTTGTTCATGTTGACAGAATGGCAGTACACACCGTGACCTGGTTCTTCTGAATCCACCCAACCGGCTGTTGAGCTTACCAGTGTACCAATGCATGCCTACTCAGATTCATTTGCGCGCTCCTATGCCATTCAGCCAGTGAAATTGTCTCCAAATTTCCAACCTAGTTCAGCGACTAGTGTGAGCAATATATTAAATGATCCTATCTGAGACAGTCCATGCAATGAACATAAAATTAGTAACCAAGCTAATAATATTGACTGTTTTTCTCAGCATCTTGGAAGTAACATAAGAGGCCCTTCGAAATAAAACTTCCAATAAGGAATCCCCGGGACAATTAATCGTCAAATTGCAACATTTGCAAGGCAGATGGTCGAATTCCTAATGGCAAGACAAAAGCCCTGGTGACATACTGAATGAGCAACAGTTAAACAAACTTGGACACAGCCTAAAAGCAAAATGCATAAAGCCTAATGGGATAGTTAAAAATAGGCAAAAACACGCTAAACTCGCAATCAGACGAGAAGAGTGCCAATTCACCAACCGCCAAATCAAAAATGAAGACAACGGGATCGAGTTAGCTTTCCCTCCAAAAATTTGTAACCCACGAATATGCTATAATATTCAGAAAATTGAGAATTCTACTTCATTAACGTAGAAGACAATATTACCTACTAAAAATTCCCCAACTTTTATTAAACAAGAACCACCGTAGCCGTTGAAGCCTAAAGTTCAGTAAACTCATATCCACATTCACCTCAACATCATCCCCACTACTTCCACAGCCTCAGAAGGCGCAGCTAAGTGACAGAACACAACGGAACGTCATTTTGCCAGAACCCCAATTCAACAAACACGAGTAAAGAAGCAACAAATTCCACTACAAGCATCAAGAGCGACCCAGAAACCAGTGGGAATCACCCGACGAGCCCCATTACTGTTTTGGAAATCATCACATGCCGGAGTGACGATTTTGCATGTAAAACATCCATACAAGCCACGATCAAAGAAGATCGAGAAAAGCAGCGAACTGGGCAGTACCGGTTGAGCTGAGAAGAAGCAGAGAGAGAAACAGAGGAGGGGTTGAAGATGGGTATACATGGCCTCTTATTAACAGAGGGAGAGAGAGGTGCATGGAGCACGATAATCAGATTTCGCAGAAGCAAAAGAAAATGGAGGGTCAGCGAAACGTTGGCGTGGGGCAGTGTGTGTTGCGGTATCCACCGGAGATTCTTATCCACAAATATTTATCGGAATATCTCGGATGAATTCTGAGGAAAAAACGAGCAGGTGCTGACGTGTGACTCCCTTTATTCGAGGGGTGGAAATTGTTCCACGCCGGTTTATATGCCACGTGGATATTTTCTTTTTATGTTTCCGAAGAAAGTGAATATTCCATTCACAACTTTTTTGCCATCCGGTGGTGCAGGTGAGCAAGGTCGGGCCAGATCGAAAAAGGCCGGACTCAAATAAACTCATTTAACCAGTTTTGATCAATTTTCATACAATGCAAATATAGTAACCTATACCTAGATCTGTCAAACTAGTGGGTCAGGTTTGGATTGGATCATAAATGGTTCAGCCTAAATTGACAAATTAACCTGTTTATATCCATTTATTTGTATTGTAAATTTCTCGACTCATATCCGATCATACCTTTATTGCTAAAACATTTTCATATTTAGGAAAACTTGTTTCTTATGATTTTTAAAAAAATTAAAGTGCTAAAATATTTCAATGTAATACAAATCTTGTGGACAAATTTTATATTTTTTTTTTAAAATTGAGGCTCTATTTGTTTCATGAAAAATATGAAATTTCTAAAAAATGTTTTCCATGAATTCATTTTTCAAGAAAATGACAATATTTTCCGATATTTAGCTAAAACATAAAAATAAACTAGATGATATTTTCTAGGAATGATCAGCTCCCAATTTGGTTCCAATTGGGAATCGGGGACCGGACCGATTGGTCCTAGGACTGGAAACCAGACCAAACCAGTTAGTCCTAGGATCGAGAACAAGACTGATGGTGTGGTCCAGTCCGATGGAATCGGTCACATAAGGTTTAGTTCACATTTTACTAATTTCAATGAAGTTCACATAGGGTTTAGTTTACATTTTATTAATTTTTTAAAGAAATAAAAATTAAAAAATATATTTATAGTCAATCCAGTCCGGTCGGTCCGATTTGGTCCGATTCCTCCTTGGAATTGGGAATTGAACCGACACTCTATGGAACTGGACCCAACCGGTCGGTTCAGTCTGGTCTGGGCGGTTCATTTTTGCACACCCCTAATATTTTCCGCCGTTTAGTTTATAAAATCTTATTTGATTTTCCTCTGAGCACTTATTTTAATAACCTTTTTTTATTTTTCAAAAAATTGAATTTTTCATTGTTCTCTTTTCTTTTCTCTTTTTCTTTTTCTTTTTCCTTCATTTTTGATCGATGGCCGGCGATAGCAACGGCCGACAACCAACCACAGGCGAGGAACGAATGAGGCAGCTTTATCCGAAACAGCAGCAACATCCATATCTACTTGCATATTTATGCCGTAATATTGTCCCAATGCTATATCAATTATTGTCTGATAGCTGTGATCATCGGCACATTGCCAAGGCCGAGGCCAACAAGGCTCAAGCTCGCTAGCCTCGGGCGGGTCATAGTTTGGGAATTTACCCTCCGTTTGTCACAGGTGTACCAGTATGTGATTTTTCATAATATTAATTAAATTTAACGAAAACTAATAGAGAGTAAATTTGTTACAAGTGTACCAGTTTATATTTTTTTGTGATCAAAAAATAGTTTAGGGTAAATTTGTCACAAATATATTAGTTTGGGGTTATTAATTTGAAGTAAATTTGTTAAAATATATCAATTTAGAGTTTTTCGTACTGTTAACTTAATTATTTATTTTTTGTTAAACAAACGGAACTGTAATAGTGAAGTCAAAGCTATCCATCTTGAAAAGATAATCGAAGGGAGGATCAGACTGAATATAACCTTTTTCTTGGCGCCGCACTAGTCCTAGATTAGACTTAATCTTTAACACATTAAAGAATCTTAAATAAAAGAATCGGAATCCAACAGTTGTCCACATAATTAAACAATACAAACCCATCTCATCGGAATAATCACCAATTTCCTTTCCCAAAAAGAAAAATTCGATGATAAATAATACAACACAACAATTGTTTTTAACCAATGTCTCCATCAACCCTTTTTTAAAGCACAAATCCATGATCATGGGGAGGTGGGGAAAATTCACGGTAAAGGAGCTTTAGAGCTAATTAAAAAAGTGAATTATAACGTATCAATTGATAAAATGAGTTTAATATTCGGGAGTCCGATATTGTGTTAAAGATTTTCTGACCTATAAATTTAAATAAATAGGTGTTGACTGGCGAGGGACATGCGTGTTTAAGAATTTCACGAGTAAATCATATCCGAAATGATAAATGAAATCTTACAGCAATCCTTGAATGAGTAAAGCGTTCGAGAATTCGGTTCTCTCAAGTAATTTTACTCGGGAAAAAATTACTATAATTATGTAAAAGCGACAATTTTTTTCCTTTTTCTTTCTTTTGTACAATTATTGCGAGCGGTACCTAATTGCCCCCCCACAAGATCAACCAACCCCATTTTTTGTTTTTTTTAGCATGAACGGACGAAAGCTAATTCCCATTTTTTTAAATCTTGTTTACTAATTAAACCCAACGAAACGGACCCACAAAAAAAAATACTTCACTAAAATAATACTACGAAAAATAAAAATTATAAAATAATAAAAAAACTATTAACCACTAATTTTGGATTAACGTTAATACCTTTCAGCGTAGTCCCAAAAATCAAATGGTTAGAGATTTGCAGGGAAATGCTCTCTCTCTCTCTCTCGATAAATAAGCGATAGCTCAAAACTCTCTCCTTTTTCTTTCTTTCTCTCTCTATCTCTCTCTCTCTCGTTTCTCTCTCTAGAAATGTTGAAGGCGTGGAAATGGTACCAGAGCTGCCTATCGGTCCACCCCGTGAAGACGCAGGTCATCAGCTCCGGCGTCCTGTGGGGCGTCGGCGACGTCGCCGCCCAGTTCATCACCCATTCCACCGCCCGGAGGCGCCTCCAGGTTTCCGTGAGTTCCGTCGCCTCCTCCGTCGCCGGTTTCTTTGCTCCCTTTCTTCCTTTCTTTTCCCCGATTCCCGGCGCTCCGATGATGTGGTTATCCTCTATTCGCGTTCGATTGTGACTCTGTTCTTCGTTCCCCGCATGCGTTTTGCTGTGGTTGGATTATGCGACGGGGCGCTTCGCTTCGCCGGAAGCGATGGTTCTGCGAATGGCGTTGTGCTGTGCGGAGCATTGTTTTAACTAGTATTAGGTCAATGAGGTTGAGGTTGGTCGCCATGTCGTTCCCTCCCGAGGGCGATTGATTTGAGGTTGAAGTAGATGTATCGACAGATGGGAGCTATTGAAGACGTTTCTCTCCATTTGACAGTTGATGTCCAATCCTGAATTGCATGTGCTAATTAGAGCTTTGCTGGTTTTTTTTCCATTTGGCAGTCGAGGATTAGTTAGTTACTTTGGCGGCATCGGCGCCGCGTTGTTGTGCAAAGGGGAGGATGATTGACTCCAGGAATTTTTAATCCATGACTAGTTTTTCCTTTCAATGCCGAAACAGACTTTTTCTCTGGATTATGGTACCGTCTCGACGGATTATGGGAGAAGTCTAAGTTAATGGTTTCGGGGAAAGTAGTTATCATATTCACAGCGACCGCAGTGCTTGTCATCTTTCAGAAGGGCACAAGATGTAATGTCGGATTACCTATTTAATAGGGACGCAACTGTTTCGCAAGCTCTGCGGTTGAAATGTCTCGACCGAACAATTGTTCAATGTATAGATAATATCAGGTTTCTCTTGATGTCGGGTGTATTCAATTTGAGATATCAACTTTGCAAAGTCATTGAAAGGAACGTGTTTTCTCAAATTTAAATGGTAATTGAACTCTTTAAAGTTAAAACTAGGGCGAGGTCAAAGAGAAAAGGAATCACTGAGAAACTCAAGGATCAGAAACGTATTAGATTCTTTTAGTTCTTTCTTCTCTGAAAGAGTTTACCTGCTATAGATGCATGAAAGTAGGAGCTTTCCTTCCCTCTGTTGAGGTTTGTTTTTTTATGACGTGACATAGATGCTACACAATCCTCTGCTAAGATAGGTCACCGCCGCAAATAGTAGCAGCTAAAAGAATGCGAAATTGGGATGTAACCGGGAGATGGCATCTTCCATTCCTTACTACGTATAGATTAAGTTCTGAATTTATGTGTTGAACTTTCTTTATCCAATTTGGATCAGGTAAATCTGGACATAGAGATATTGTACTTGTTGTTTGGGACCATACTCTCGTCAGACACAGCTGTTTGTTAGGTCAAGAGATAGTGTATTTGTTGCTGCAGTATTCTCCTGTTGTTTTTGTCCATCAACTGTAGCAACCTGGAGGTTAAATGACAAATGCAATGTTGACTTGAGATCCTGCAACCTAAAGTTCCAATTAAACCATTTGAGCACCCCATTTCCAGTTTGCTTGGTAGTCAAGGCCGGGGCATCTACTTCTGCATCATGTAAATTTCCTCTCTCCTTCTCCATGGACACGGTCCTCCACATGCATTTTCAGGTTGATGTAATTTCATCAGGAGGCTAGTAATCAGCTCCTATGCTTGATTCGCATTTTACCCCTCCGTATGACTGGTAAGCTCAAGCTGCACTTTCAAATCGAAGAAGAACATCAAATTTAAAAAAAAAAAAACTCAACAATATAGCGAATCTTCTATGCCTCATCTCCAGCATTATAGGATAATCAATAAAAATCCTTAAAAATCCTTCTTTACGCATCATTTACCAAAATAGATAAGATGTGTTTCTTTTTTTTCCATTTTTGTTGCCTCAATCTTTTGCAATGCCAAGGTTATTAATTAATTGGATATCGCTGCTTTATGTACTGATTGAGCACTTCAAGATTTTTGGGTTACACAATTGTCTCCTTAGTCTTTGTTGAATACTCTTTCGCTCTTTCTAGCGGGCTTAGCTTCAAAGTCTAGCTTATGATTATTGTAGCCCTGGCAATGACAAGCCCTGCTTAGTTTGTCCTGACATATCTTTGTTCGCTGGGAAGACCATTACCTTTGTGTAAATTTACAGGAAGCAGATGCTAAATTCAAAGTCAACTGGAAACGAACAGCTATTACAAGTTTGTTTGGGTTCGGCTTTGTAGGCCCCGTAGGCCATTTGTGGTTAGTCTTTATCATGTTGCTTCTTCTATTACACTATTTACCATCCTGTCATTTGCGTTTCCACTTTTACTTTTACTGTCTAGGGTTTGGCCTATTTTAATACTATATACCATGAATCTATAAACAAATAGACATATGGACACTTTAGATCGTTTATAATCGTGTGGAATTTTGTCATTATATTCTAAAATCATTTTTCTGCCATTTTGGCCATAAAGTCAAATAAGTAATTTTCGCGTAACAAAAGACAGGTGAAAGTGGCCCTTAGCTTTTTTATACTACCACAGTGTAATTCTGGAACTCACAAATTAAGCATGATGGTCTTCAGAGCAATTGTTCCAAACAAATGTGGTTCTGGGGGAATTTTGACTTTGTGTTGGGTAGTACTGTATTTGGCGTTTATGATGTATGAAAGTTTAATCAGCCATTCAACATTGTGGAAGCAGGGAAAAATTTTGACGCAAGGTCATTGCTAGTATGGAAGATTGTGATTTCACGGAAGACAGAACTGGACTGCACTATTCATTTATGATTGACTGCCTATATTAGTTCCGGGGATGGAAGCTAGCTTATCATCACATTTAACTTGCTATATGAAGCATGTGTTAGTTTTTTAATGTGGGTTGAGATGAACCGGGATGATCAATGAGCCTGTGCATCTACGGATAAGAATTTTGGACATTAGTAAGCAAAGAAATGGTGAGGCCTGCATTTGACAATCTTGTTCTCTTCTAGGTATGATGGGCTCGACAGATTCATAAGACTCAGGTTGCTTTTACCGCCAAAGTCTGCCAAGTTTGTTGCTGCTAAAGTGGCAATGGATGGGATCATCTTTGGGCCCTTTGACTTGTTTCTTTTCTTCAGTTACATGGGATTTGCCGCCGGCAAAAACGTCGCTCAAGTGAAGGAAGACCTGAAGAGGGACTTTCTCCCCGCTCTGATCTTGGAGGGCGGAGTTTGGCCGCTCGTTCAAGTCGCCAACTTCCGATACATCCCAGTCAGATATCAGCTCCTCTACGTCAATATGTTCTGCTTGCTAGATAGTGCTTTCTTGTCGTGGCTTGAGCAACAAAAGGACGCTCCTTGGAAGCAGTGGTTCACATCTTTTCACTCCTTGAAGGAAGGAGGAAGTCAGGGCAGATGACGAGAACCTTCTTCGACTCTTCAGCCGTGCCCGAGCGGGCGACACAGGTGATTTATACATGTCCCGAGAAAAATATGTTTCCGAGATTGTGCATTACAATGCAGTCAATGGAGGGAGGGGCCATCAATCCAATCTCTCCAGTTCACAGATGCTAATTGGCTCTTGCTTCGAATTCAATACAGAAAAAAATGTCTGATTTCCTCCCTCCAGAACAGAATGGAATCACGAATCTTCTTCCATGGGAGCAGGGACTTCGATTGACAATGTTGTTTTCATCGCTGTAGATCTCAATCTGGCTGGAACATGCCAAGAACGGTAGGCGTCACGGCAAGAGCTGCTTTTTCTTTGTTTTCTTCTTTCTCATAATTTTTTTAAGAAAATTTGTTGGAAATTTATATATGGATAGCTCGTTTTGATGCTCTTGGATGAACGCTGCCCAGTGGCTGAGGGGATGGTTGAAATCAGCAGAGATTAAAACGAGCATAATTTTTTTTTTACTTAAATCCAAGTAATTCGAATTGATTCAAAAAAAGATGAAGAGTGAACCGTAGAACTTTTCATATACTGGTTTAGGCCTAATATCCAAAAAAATCCAAACTTTAGGTTTAATCTCGAATTTACTTTAAACTTTTTTTTGTCTTGTATAATACTACCGACTTTTAATCGAGTCTCAAATTTTCTCACATTAACTCTTTGTCCAAAATTTCTAAATGAAAAACTCCTAAGCACGAGTTTTTCGAGCGTCCCAAGTTGAGTCTCTTGAGCACTAAGTCATGGAAATTTGATATCCAAATTTCAAATTCAATAACATGCTGTGTGGATCTAAAATTAGGAAAAAAAACTAAAGTAATGAGGTGGAAATGTTGCATCGGTAAAGGCAATTTTGGACCTGGGGTTTACGAAGGTAGATATGAGACTCAAGTAAAAGTTGGCAATTTTTTTATGAGACAAAGAAAGTTTGAGGTAGAATTTAGACTCAACCTAAAGTTTATGCATTTCAGTGAGATAAAAAAAATTTAGAGTAAAATTAAGATTGGATCAAAAGTTTGAAATTTTTCATAAGACGAAAAAAAATTTATGATAGAATTAGACGAGGCCTATCGATTTATTATTCGACGTAGTTTTTACATATCATAAAGAAATAACATTTAAGTAACGGATAAGGAAACCCGATATCCAGTTTTAATCCTAGTCATTCGAAAGATCGAATGAAAACTGACATTTCACGAACACGATAAAAATGAGAATCGAATTTATGTGGAAGAGAATAATATTCAGCATGCGCATGGCAATCCTGCAATAAATAGTGTTTGATTCGTTTTTTTGTTTCCGAATCGTTTGGGAATAAAAATCCGTTTGTTTAATTTTTTGATTCCGGGCACAAATTCTTGCAAATTTGTGCCTGTAATCGCTTTGAGATAATCAAGAATAAAAAAAAGTAGCTTCTTGATTCCGGAACAAAATGAGAATCGCTTTTTTTTTCTTCTTTTTCTTGATTTTTAATATAGCTTCTAATATCCGTGCGAGGCACACTCGCCAGTATCTGCGAGATTAAAATATTTTAATAAAAATATTATTAATAAAAAATTTTACCTGCCATGGCGAAAAAATAAAAAATATATTATTAATAAAAAAAATTTTACCAGCCATGATAAAAAAAATATTATTAATAAAAAAAAATTTACGGGCCATGGCGAAAAAAATAAAAAAATTATTTTCAATAAAAATATTATTTATAAAAAAATATTTTACCGGCCATGGCAAAAACAAATAAAAAAATAATTTCAATAAAATATTTTTTATTAAAATATTATTAATAAAAAAATATTTATAAAAAAAATATTTTATCGGCCATGACCAGTGACCAGGTCATGGCGAAAAAAAAAGAAAAAAATATTTTCAATAAAAATATTTTAGTAAAATATTTTTAAAAAATTATTAATAAAAATATTATTTATAAGAAAATTTTACCGGCCATGGCCAAAAAATAAAAAAATTATTTTTAATAAAAGTATTATTAATTAAAAATATTTTACGATGGCCAAGAAGGAGGAGAAGAAAAAAGAAAAGAAAGAAATATTAAAATATTTAAAATGTTATTAAAATATTATTAATAAAAAGAAATTTTATGCGTTACCAAACGCATTTCTATTCTTTTACTATTTCAGAATAGAAATTTTGCACAAACGCCTTCAAATGCTCAATCGCTTCCGCATAGAATAAAAAGAATAATTTCGATAACTGCTTCCTATACGCATCGACTCTTCTCTTCTAATTCTACACACCTATTTAGTAAAAGAGGAAAAGTTAGGAATCGGGTTAGATATCTATACGTCGAATCTACAAATTCTTTTTGTGGTATTTTTCTACCCACAATGGACAATAACAATTCCAAATACAGCATTTACAAAAAAAAAATGCATTTGTTAAACATTTAACTTTTTTTCTCGTCCCCCGCCATTCATCGCGAAATTATTGCATGAAAAATTGCAAAACAGGGGCGACTATATAAGTTCGTTCGTGGGCGCCGGATCTCTACAGAGTCGTCGCGATCGAATCGAGAAGACCGGAAAGTACGACCGTCGGACCATTTTACACCTCACAAAAACAGACGCTGCAGCCCCCCGAGACACAAGCGATAGCAGCATCCGCCGCTCGCCGGAGCTCGGGAGCCCCCCACTCCCCATGACTCCCCGCCGTACCGATCGGCCTCCGGCGACTCCACCGTCCCCGTGACAACCGCCGCCATGACCGCTCCCCGAGTCTCCCCTCCGCTCGCTCTCCTCCTGGCCCTCCTCTCCGCCTCCCTCCTCCCCTTCATCCCCACTCCCCGCCGGCCTCCCGAAACCCTGAGTCCTCCCGCCCCGGACCGCACGGGCGCCAACTACATCGTCCGGTTCACCCGCTACGACCGCGCCGAGGATCACCGCTCCTACCTCGAGGCGGCGGTGCGGTCCCCCGGCTGGCGGTGGATCCCGAGGCGGAACCCGGCGTCCGAGTACCCGACCGACTTCGGGCTGGTGTCGATCGAGGAAGGGCCGGCGAGGGAGGGCCTGATCGGGGAGATTGGGAGGCTAGGGCTGGTGAAGGACGTGAGCCTGGATTTGAGCTACGGCAGAGGGCTGCTTGGAGAGAACGGCCAGAGGGTTGGGGCGTTCGTCGACGGGACGAAGCGGCCGGGCAAGATTTTCACGTCCATGTCGTTTAGCGAGGGCGAGGGGGAGTACTACGCCGCGATTAGCAACTCTTCGATAAGCTGGAGGCGGCATCTGTTGGCGCCGGTGAGATGCATCTTGTTGTTCGGCGAAATGAAATCGCGTTTTCCACGTTTCTGGTTTGCTCAATCGATTAAGCGAATGTGGGAGTGAGCGTAGTGTGACGATTATGTGTTTAGCTAGCTAAATGCTGTCAGTTTAATGACTGATGTCTGCGCGTTCGGATCGAATTGTTCACTGGATCTGATTATGTAACTGACGCCTCGAGATTATGAAGATACTTCATCTTTTGTGCCTTTGCTCATTTGGTTTAGACCAGCAGATTTTGGCGTTTGACCGGGTAGTATCACAGATTTCCTGTGTGTTTCAGATTGAAAATGGGGAATTTTATACTTCCATCATTAGCAGAATCTTTGTAAATCCCAGTATATTTGCTATTTTATACTTTGTTTCCTGGTTTCCATGTATAAGTGTTCTGACTTTGGATATCTGGGTTTTTTTCCCCTGTTTCTTCGGAGCAGAATATGCATGATAGTTATTTCTGGATGTCCTCTTTGCTTATTTATGTGGCCTTATACCTGTTTTTCTTTTTTTTTTCTCTATTTTAAATTTCTCGTTGTTTAGAGATCTCAAGTCACATCCATGTTTGGAGCCGGCACGCTTTGGGAAAAAGGTTACACTGGCAAAAAAGTTAAAATGGCAATATTTGACACTGGTATCCGGGCTGATCATCCGCATTTCCGTAATATAAAGGTACTCATTTTGATGGAACTTGTTCTTGGTTGCTAGGCACTAGTTTGCAGAGGTGAGCGAATGGAAATTTGCAGTGTGTGAAGAGTGACTGTTTAATTTCTTCAGCTCCATCTCTGGTATTTTCACTAACATCAAATTTGGCTGACTATTAGGAGCGCACAAATTGGACCAATGAGGATACCTTGAATGACAATCTTGGACATGGGACATTTGTTGCCGGTGTCATTGCTGGTGTAGATGCAGAGTGCTTAGGATTTGCACCTGATACTGAAATTTATGCTTTTCGTGTGTTCACAGATGCACAGGTAATTCTTCTTTTGGACCATCCACGGCAAAAAATTTAAGTGAGTTGTTGCATGCATAAATGCGTAATGCATTACGGCAAAGCGGCAACTTAATAGCACAGTGTTTGGGAACATTGAAGAATTTGACATCTGTTTGGCTAATTGTGGACCACTTTGTTTTATCTGCCCTCACATAGGAATATTGCAGCGTATGTGGTGTACTTTATTTGCAAGGTGATGATAATTGCGCATTCAGCCTACTGCAGGTATCATACACATCATGGTTTCTGGACGCATTTAACTATGCTATTGCAACAAAAATGGATGTGCTAAATTTGAGCATAGGTGGACCTGATTACCTGGATCTCCCGTTTGTGGAGAAGGTAGGCTCTTATTATATGTCCAAAACATCTAATTACAGTGACAATGCCGGAATCATTATGTGCTTCTCATGTGGGTTTTTAGAAATCAGAGTAGCGTGGGCTAGTTGATGTCCATTGTCTGGGTCAATTTGATATTTGTGTTAATAATCGAATTAAGGACTTTTTAGGACTGCTGCTGAAAGAAGTCTTACTTATTTGTTTAGATTTAATTTTCAGAGTTCTTTGTAAACCATAAGAAGGTAAAGCTCATCCTATATCTGCTTTGCAAACATTTTCACTGTTATGAACATGAGTTTATCACTAGCGAACTCTTTTTTCAAACTTATCCTCGGATTTTAGCATACTTCCTAATATATATGAGGGTGTAGAATTTGGTCATTGACTTAAATCTGTTTTCCAGGTTTGGGAAATAACAGCAAACAACATAATTATGGTTTCAGCAATAGGAAATGATGGACCACTTTATGGCACTTTGAACAACCCAGCTGATCAGAGTGACATTATCGGTGTTGGTGGTATTGATTACAGCGACCATATAGCCTCATTTTCCTCACGTGGCATGAGTACTTGGGAGCTTCCTCATGGGTAATTGATGTTACTTACTTCAAATTACTTAAGAATTTGTCTACTGTTTTTTTCTATTTGGTTTTGCTCGGACAACTTAATGGGATTAATGAAGGAAAGAATTATGTGCATTGTAATTGCTTTGGTTAGGTTACAAAAGCTGTTTTGTTTCTCAATTCTTGAGCTGAGTTTAGCATTAAGTCTTTAGTAAGCATAGTTTTCATCATATTATCTGTACTTCACATCTCAAGTCAAGTCCCTGTTTGCATTAGTAGTAGTCAAACAGCGGCTGCACATGGTTCATGTCATATGCCAGTAACGACATTCAGTTAATTGAGTCTCAATCTGTTAGCCGACTCTTCCTAATATGCTTGTGTCTAAAGAACTGTCTGGTGACTGAAGAATGATGCAAAAGGAAATAAGCATGTCTTCTCGAGCTCACTGAAATCAATTGTTCTTCTGTTGCGTGGCACTCGTTATGAAAAATGCTTATATTGGGGGTTCTTAACTACAAGACAATTTTTGTGATCTTGCTGGTGAGCAGGACTCTTTTAGTTTGCAATTTTTATGTCTATTTTTTTTGTCTCTGCAGCAAGCAAGAATAAAAATAGTTTCCCATTCCCAAATACTTTTTTCTTGAAATGTTTGATACATCAAAATGAAAAATATGTACTTAAATGAAAGTCATGAAAATATGTTTAGTCGTGTCCTCTTGTTCATCAATTCCCCATTGCGAAATTATGAATTTGTTCCCAAAGAGAACAAAGAAATGAAAACTATCATTTGGTTCTTTCTATCAGAGAGAGAGAGAGAGAGAGAGAGAGACCCGGGGGGAAGGAGATTGCAGTAATGGTCCTTGTCTTTTCATTTAGAGTAAGCACAACAAAAGCAATTAATACTTATTCTCTCTCTCAAAACTTGTAGAAGTGCAAGCAGATTCAGTTGTTTTTTAGTTCGAAACAATTTTCGCCATTTCATGTCCCTTTTTTCACAAAAAAGGAAATAAAAGTTGAAATATTCAAAATTCCAATGGGGCTTCATTGTTCTTTAGGACTTCTGGGCCTAACAGTAGTTGATGGGAGGCTAAATTGATGAATGTATTGCTTGATTTAGTGCTCCTTTGCAATTAATTGAACAGTTGAAAGTGAAGTTCTGTCCATCCTTTCTCGAGAGGTTATATCTCTCTTATAACTTATGAGTTGGCCTTGGCTTGTTCTAGATTTTTAAACGGTTTCATGATTGTGCAGTTATGGTCGAGTAAAGCCTGATGTCGTTGCATACGGAAGGGAGATCATGGGGTCCAAGATCAGTACTGGCTGTAAAAGCTTATCTGGGACTAGCGTGGCAAGTCCTGTAGTTGCTGGTGTGGTATGCTTGCTTGTTAGTGTTATTCCTGAAAGCAAGAGAAAGGAGATTTTAAATCCAGCGAGCATGAAACAAGCACTTGTGGAAGGAGCTGCAAAGCTTTCTGGTCCTAACATGTATGAACAGGGTGCTGGAAGAGTCGCTTTGTAAGTTTCCATATATACCCCATATAGCTGTTGAATTTCTTGTGTTAGCTAAAGAACTCCTCTAGCAGTCCTTGCTTTTTATATTATTAGCTCTAATCTGGAGCTTCTCAGGTTAGAATCATATGAAATACTGAAAAGCTACCAACCTCGGGCAAGCATCTTCCCCAGCGTTCTTGATTTTTCGGATTGTCCTTATTCCTGGCCCTTTTGTCATCAACCTCTCTATGCGGGGGCAATGCCTGTAATTTTTAATGCCACCATTCTAAATGGTATGGGTGTAATTGGCTATGTTGACGGACCACCAACTTGGCATCCTTCAGATGAGGAAGGGAATCTTTTAAGTATTCATTTTTCATATTCTGAAGTCATATGGCCCTGGACTGGGTATCTGGCCTTGCACATGCAGATCAAGGAAGAAGGAGCCCAGTATTCTGGAGAGATAGAAGGGAATGTAACCGTTAAGGTGTACAGTCCTCCTTCTCAAGGTGAGAAGAGTCCTCGAAGTAGCACCTGCGTTCTTCAATTAAGACTGAAAGTGGTTCCAACTCCACCGAGATCAAAACGTATTCTTTGGGATCAGTTTCACAGTATAAAGTATCCTCCAGGTTATATTCCTAGAGACTCTTTGGATGTTCGCAACGACATTCTCGACTGGCATGGGGATCACCTTCATACAAATTTCCACTTGGTGTTCAACATGTTGCGTGATTCTGGATACTACGTAGAAACGCTTGGCTCACCTCTTACCTGCTTTGATGCTCACCAGTATGGAACACTTCTGTTAGTGGATCTTGAAGATGAATACTTTGAAGAAGAAATCGAGAAGCTGAAGGGTGATGTAATTAACTCGGGATTGGGGTTGGCTGTGTTTGCAGACTGGTATAATGTGGACACGATGGTGAAGATGAGGTTTTTCGATGATAACACGAGGAGCTGGTGGACACCAGTAACTGGAGGTGCTAATGTTCCAGCGCTGAATGATCTTTTAGCTCCATTTGGAATTGCTTTTGGAGACAAGATATTGAATGGCGATTTTTCTATGGATGGCGAACAGAGCCGTTATGCATCTGGAACTGATATAGTTAAGTTCCCCAGAGGTGGCTATGTTCACAGCTTTCCTTTCCAAGATAGTTCAGAGAGTGGGGCTACTCAAAATGTACTTTTGTCTGCTGGGATGACCAAGGTAACGGTTGAGCTTTCATTCTTAGTCTGAATGCAATATATATGCTGAAGTTTAGTTTACCAAGTGGAAAGTACGTCAGATGTCCTCTCTGTTTGTTTACTCTTCCATTGTCATGGACAGAAATAAAATCACTGCAACATTTTCATCAAATGACATTCTACTGCCAAATGTTTTTGTACTTTTCCTCTGAGTGCGTTTCTTCTTGCCATGTGAAGGAGGAAGTTTTTTAAATGCAAAATCTTTTTCTCTGGTTTTGTTCTTGCCATGAGGAGTAGGAAGTGTTCTGGAACTCTTGGACCGTTACTGGAATCCTTGACTTTCATATGTAGTTGACTTAGTAAGTGCCGTATGATAATCAACTTTCACATCTTTCTGTGATGACAATATGATATTAAATAGTGTCCAGCTGTAGGTTGAGTTATAATTTGCTTCAAGTTAAACTGCACTGCAGTTCTGAGTTTAAACCTTGGAATATACATGATGATAATTAATCTTATGGAACTTCTGTTGATATATACCAGGCAGACTCCCCAATTCTTGGCCTTGTTGAGGTTGGAGAAGGCCGGGTTGCAGTTTATGGAGACTCCAACTGCTTGGATAGTAGTCACATGGTTACCAATTGTTACTGGCTTCTGAGGAAAATACTGGATTTCACCAGTGGGAACATCAGAGATCCTATGCTTTTCTCACCATCAGTGAAACAGGATAATCCTTTGTACATAGACGACAACCAACTGCCTTCTCGCAGAACTGATGTTAATTTCTCGACATATTCTTCTGTTGTGGGGAAGGAGTTAATCTGCAGGAGTGACTCCAGGTTTGAAGTCTGGGGTACAAAGGGCTACAATTTACAGGTTAGAGGAAGAAATAGAAGACTTCCAGGCTATCCGGTTATCGATTTGGGAAGGGGTCTCAATTCCACGGCTGAGGTTTTCCCCAAGACTCGTCCCAAGTTGAGAGAGAAGGGAAAGGGCGACTCCAGTGGGAATGGGTACTTGGGTCTATTATATAGAGATGAGGTGAGAAACTTAACTCGTCCTTGAATTTCTTCCATCTTCATGTTGGTGACTTGGAAAGATGTTTCAACCATTACCTATTGCTGTATATGATGTTATTATTTTCCCAATGCAGCTTGATATGCCCGTGCTAGTTGCTAGTCATTGGCTTGCTCCTGCGGTAATTGCGGTTGCGGGTGAGTGCAATTAGCTTTGTGCATCCAAGTACTGAAAAAAGTTTATTATCATACAGTGGTTCTATGTTTAACTGGCTCATTTCCTGTTTTGTAGGAATCCTCCTATTTTTTAGTTTCTGGAGAATTCGCCAGAAGCGACGTCGGCGAAGAAAGGGATCTAGCTCTGTTCGGATGGCAAATCCGTGATAGAAGGATAGAAGTTTTGATAGGGTTTCTCTTTGTAGACACACAGACGAGATCCTACAGTGTAACAATCATTCATCCCAGAGGAGAGTTCTCTCATCGTAGGAATTAGTTCCTCGAGAAGTACATAGATTTTTTTCCGCGTTGTGCAAGGCTTTTTTGGTGGCACAAATTTTCAGGCAGTAATGAAATATTTGATGCAATTCGAGGCTGTGCCCTACCATACTTTGATCGGTTGTTTCCGCCTTGCCAAGGATCCGCAGCATTGGCCAATTTCCTCTCTCCCTGCTAATTGTTAATGACGACATGAACGTTCGAGTCGTTTGGACTCGTTCATAGTTGGTACGTCGGGAGCGTATAGAGGCTCATGTCTCAAGGTCTCGGTGATCTAAGCTATGTCATGACCCATGTACAAGTGCACGCTATCCCAACTGGAGTCGATTGGTGGGATGGCAATCTAATATACATCATGACTGTTTTCTTGCTATAATTTTACGAAAGGCAACCGGAATGTAGTATCATGAACCTTTGGCATCAGCTAGGATGGAGATTTCAGAATCAGAAGATCAGTCGTGATAAATGATCTTCAGCCTGTAAATCACATGTAATACCTAAATCTTTCCAAGAACAGACATTGCTGCGGGTAGATTGGAAAAGCAATGATCGCCAGTGAAACAGAAAATAAGTGTACATCTCTTGAACATCTGAGTAATCAAATTAGAAAAGGATTGCATGACCTATAGGCCTTCGGATTCTAGAGATTATACACAACCATTCTCACAATGCACGATTTTGGAACGATGAAACCGCAAATATTTTTGCTAAACTGATAAACATTGCTAATGATATACATGGCACTCCCGACAACCAGTAGTGTACTGACGATCCACGGTCGGCAGAAGTAGAATCACGGCCCTCTTTTGCAAGTCTTTTCTCGAGAGATCAGCAAATCCAAACTCAAAATACTCTTTCAACATTCACAACCCGAAGAACGCTGCTGCTGTCCACCGCCCACATCAATAGTGTCAGGAAGGTAGCTGCATTGAAACAGAATTCAGGAATGAGCATTTTATTCTCGGTAATGTGTTGATACATATATCATGGAACTTCAATCGATGTCAATATGTGCATATCATGGAACTTCGATTGATCTATGCAATTACGCCATAGAACAGCACATCACATTTCCAGTAATTTAATCACAGATTATTAATTTGCAAACATATTCTGATGCTCTAGATGACTTCAGATGTTCACCATCAAATTCATAAGGAAAAGGCACTGGCTAATCAAAACCAAGCTGATTCTAAAGGTAAGAGTGGTGAGAAACTTTTCGTTCAGCAGCACTCTGATTCTTGAGATCAACTTCATGAAAAGAGAGACCAGAAAGCATGGTAGCTGATTTGACATGCAGCATTTGATGGATCATAATAGTCTGACGGTGTCATTGAAGTAATTGGTACATATACAAGAAACTATATGTCAAAAAAAAGAGACATGCGGACATTTTAGCAGTGTACTCACAGTTCTTCTTCGGGCTCATTCTTAAGAGCATCCTTGGCTATACATTGGAAAGCTGCTTCAACATTAAAACCTTCTTTTGCAGAAGTTTCAAAATAAGAAATGTTTCCCTTAGAGGCACACCATGCTTTTGCTTTCTTCTCAGATACCTGGTTGGTGGAAAGATTGATTCACGATTAAGTTCTAGTTCAAAACAAGTAAAGCTACCATAGAAAAGAGGCAGGAAAGGTACACGTGACACACTGTCTTACCAAAAAAAGAGTGAACATGCGCAAGGATGTGAATACAAATGACAAGTTAAATCGTATTAATTTGTTCATTAGAGTCACCCCGGCAGAAATGTAAATAATATGCGAGTCACATTGGCTAAGACCTAACTGCATTTTTCTGTCAAACCAAATTATATCCATACTCTTGGGACTAGTGAAGAGACATCTCACCACTCGACTGTTGCCACCATCAATGTCAATCTTGTTCCCCAACACAACAAATGGAAAGTTATCAGGGTCAGAAGGGCTGGCCTGAAAACATCAACAAAAGTTACATTATCATTTCTAGTACCGCAAACACTCAGATGTGAATGTGTTCGACAGCTACCTGAATGAGAAACTCCTCTCTCCAGTGGTTAAGGTTGTCGAACGATTTCATCACATTAACATCATATACAAGAACACAACAGTCAGCTCCACGGTAAAAAGCAACACCAAGACTTTGGAACCGTTCCTGCCCTGCTGTATCCCATATCTGAAGGTATTAACACCGTGAGTATCACAGAGAAATGTCCCAGTATACGAGTTGTTATCATGCCAAGCTTTCTATGTAATGACTTTCACCAAAGCATGCGGTTTCCTTAGAACGATTTCTCATATCCACTAAATGTTGCGTACCTGCGGAGTTTGGAAAGGTCATCTAACAAGGTACAAACACTCTAGAGAGGACATGGCAATCAGAGAATTAAAAGTTGGACAGCTCTCCCAAGTCCTGACTACTCCAATTATCATCACAAAAGTTTGAGTCCTGAAAGCCATCCCGACTCCTCCAACTTTCATCAAACTAGCTTTAAGCTCTCGAGAGAGGAATGAGGATACAACAATCAAAGAAAGAAAATAGACAAAGCTCCTCCAAGTTCTTCTTGATTATCATACTTATCCAACTCCCAACACTCTCAGAATCCCAACACAATGGCAGGCTTGCAACCGCCAATTCTTTCCCCAAAGCAGACAAGTGTTTCCATTGATAATGGAGCGTCTATCTCCTTGATGGCCAGACTGGCAAATAGAAGCCCAACCACAGGACTAGTTATGCTTCACAATTCTAGACATCAAATTCTCCCAAGAAAATGTCGGGCAGTTAAGCAACTATTATCATAACAATTCAACTGACTGAATGGCTTACACAGCTTGTGTTTAGTTTATTTTCAAGACACCTCCTAGGAAAATAAAGCAGGAAAAGTAAATTTTCAACACCAAGGAATCATGCGACAGACCTACATATCATCCTAGCCAATATCAAGCTCAAAGAAAATACAATTATGCTGTTGTCTAGCGACGAGTGTAGAAGGCATTGAAACTCAGCTGTACAGTTACTACAAGTTAAAGAATACTTATAATGCAGTGCATAATGAATGACGCAAATTTGCAAATAACTATCCATCAAATAAGAAACTACAAGCCTGGTAAAACTATGAAACTACATGTCAACATCTAGATGCAAAGAGAAAGAAAGTCATAATTTGATGCTCCGCTTAATGGCACACCTGCAATGTGAAAAGTCTATCCTCAAACTGGACTTCCTTGGTGAGGAAATCTGCCCCGATGGTTGCTTTGTACTGATTACTGAACTTTCGGTTCACATATCTAGAAGCAGAGTGAAAGGGTAACACAAAAGATTTTAAAAAGTACGTTTTAGTACAAGCTGAAATTGAAATAACAAACTGAACCGATCAAAATTTGAGGATACTGATTCATCAAAGATGTCTTTCCAACCCTGCAAAAACAAAAAAGACCAAATTTTAAAAAAATAAAACAAATTAAGAACAATGGATTTACATACAACGATGCAACAAGAAACCCAAAACAAGCTCTCATCGCTTGCAACAATCACTCAGTTGCCACGACCGCGAGTGAAGTATCACAAAACCTAGCAGCGTAAAATCCAATTCCATCCTGATTCGGCGCCCATGCCCATCTAATTATCCCACCACTCAAACGCCCTGCAACATCATATTCATCTAGAACAATAATAACAGCCCCAAATGTGGTTCCATTTGCAACAAATCTTTCGGATGGACATTTAACAGCGTCAAGAGCATAAATTTAGACACACGAATTCTCATTAACCTCAAAATTCCAGCAAATGATTAGTACAAACAAGGTTGAGCCTGACAAGTTCAAAACTTTCTATTCTCCCTTTTTCCCATTCTTCCTTGTCAAGAACCACAGAGCTACAGGAACAGGATTCCACATCGCATCAACCTACGGATCATCATATCATTACACCTCCAATTTTCTCGCACCTCAAACAGAAAAACGCATAACCCACAACAACAAAAGACAAAAAGAAAGCCAAAGGGTATGATCAGCAACATACCCACTGTCGCCAAGGATTATGACCTTGAGAAGCATGCGTCTCCGAGAAGCCATTTTTGCGAATTCAGAGAATCTGCGCGCAACCCTCTCTCCCTCTCTCCCCGGTGATCAATGGGTGTTCTACCTTTTTCTGGCCAGTGATCAAGGGATGTTCAAAGGGCTTCTTTTGGGATTGTGCATTTACAGATATTTTCCCAGAAATTTGATTGTCGTTGGACAAAGTTCTAATTTTTATTTAAGGAATCGAAAAAATAGGATAGAATGTGCAGCTCAGAGGTTCGCTGTTTTTGGAGCTGTACTCGATATTGTCAATGTGGACACAACTTATCATTTTCATTATTATTAAGTTAAGGCAAAAAAAAAACCGACCACAAAGACCAGGGAGCAATGATTGGTCATCCATCATGCGGCAACTGCTGGTCTTTTGTACAGGTCAGCAGCGACAGAACAATGGCAAGCACCTCACGAATCAAAGGGAAAAAAAAAACATATATAACATTAGAAAATATAGAATACAAGCCACCAAAAATCCTAAATTATACTCACCGTAATATATTTATCCCAAATTTCTTGTATCTATGCAACACATATACCAAAAACTTCTTTTTGTGACACAAAAAACTCTAAAAACGTCGTAAAAAAAAGTTTATGATTTTTAGTGTCACAAATTTTTTTTTTTGGATAAATATGTCATACAGGTATAAGTTTGTGATTTGTTAAGTCACATAAAAATTTTTAGGGTAAATGCGTTACACAGATACAAATTTGAGGTTTATGGTATTATAAAAAATAGATTAAGGTAAATGTGTCACATTATGTAAAATTTGAGATTTTTTGTTACTTTTTTCCAAAAATAAATGACCCCTGTTAATAACTCATGTAACTCTATATTACCTCTAAACAAAATCCCACGTTAAAAAGACCAAAATGCTCTTCCTTGCAACCTTGTTTTATCATCTTGTTCAGGGTTTAAGTGGTTTAGGCTTTAGTTTTTTTTTTTTTATCTAAGTTTAGGCTTTAGTTGATTTTGAGTGTTTTCTGTGAGTGTGAGAATTTAGAATTAGGGGGTAAACATTTTTAGAAAGAAAATGATA